CACAGTCCCCAGAGGATTTGCTGAAACAGATTGCTAGGTCCTCCCCAAAGGTGGATTCATGTCTGTGACAGGTCCTGACAATGTTCCTTTCTAATGAGTTCCCAGGATTTTTAAAAAAAATTCTAGGATAGGGGTGCCTGGGTGGCTCAGTGGGTTAAAGCCTGTGCCTTCGGCTCAGGTCATGATCCCAGAGTCCTCGGATCGAGTCCCGCATCGGGCTCTCTGCTTAGCAGGGAACCTGCTTCCCTCTCTCTCTCTCTGCCTGCCTCTCTGCCTACTTGTGATCTGTCTCTCTCTGTCAAATAAATAAATAAAATCTTTAAAAAAATTCTAGTATAGTTAACATACAATGTTAGTTTCAGGTGTACAATATAGTGATTCAACAATTTTCTGTATACTGAATTGCATAGTCTGTGTGGTTTTTGAAAATTAGATGTCAACATTTAAAACTTAAAACTCACTTAAGATTGTATTTATTTTCAGAGAGCAAGTGAGCATGTGGGAGCGGGGTGGGGGGAATGGGGTGGGGAAAGGGGCAGAGGCAGAGGGAGAAAGAAAATCTCAAGTTGACTCCCACGGCTGATGCAGAGTTCTGTGCAGGGCTGGATTCCACACCTTGAGATCATGACCTGAACTCAAGAATCGGGCGCTTAACTTTCTGAGCCACCCAGGCATCCCTAGGGAAACTCATTTAAAAACCCAGTTTCAGTATCAAAATATATGGTACCAGGGCAACTACATTTCCGGGAGGAAAAAATTGGCTGGGGCTGAGTCATGGTTATTTCCCCTAGAAAGTATTTTTGACTAGGTAACAAATGGGCCTGTACAGAATTCTGAAGGTATGAAAGATGCCCCGTGAAAGCTGTATCTCTCTTCCATTCCCGAGCCCAGAGTCTAGATGTTGTCTCCTTTAGATGGCACGGAGCTTTCCAGACACCACCACTTCGCATTAACCTGACCCCCCTTCACTTACTGCCATTATCTGCCTGGTCCCTATAGGCATCTGACTGCATCCAAGACCATTTTCCAGTCCCTCTTGTGCATTTAAAAAAATTTAAATTTTTTTTTCATTAACATATAATGTATTATTAGCCCCAGGGGTACAGGACTGTGAATCGCCAGGTTTACACACTTCGTAGCACTCACCATAGCACATACCTTCCCCAATGTCCGCAACTTAACCCTCCCCCCCCCACCTCTTGTGCTTTCTTACAGCAGTTGGATTTTATTAGCACTTTCACACTGACTTCTTCATAGGTTGGCCTCTTAAGGATGGACAGTCCACTGATCCACGAAGTTAGGGTGTGTGTCCTTTTGGTGTCTACATCCAAATGCCTAGGATCCCATCCTAGGTAGGTAGCAGATGTACAGGTTTATTTAGAGAATTAGTAAGTTATTTAAGAAACTGTGTAGTATTTCCGGAACCCTAGCCTGAGGTGTGACTCAAACAGCAATTTAGGCAGGTGAAATAAAGAATTGAATTCCCATAAAGACCCCATCAGAGTCCCCAGTCAACCTTGTAACAGGTAGCCCCAGAAGAGAATTTGAGAACACGGAAAGTAATGCATCTTCGATTCTTTTAGAACCAGATCCAAAGAGGTATCAAGGACACTCCTGAGGCTACTTCCCATAAGTGTGACAATGTTGTACAACCCTTTCTTCCTAGTCCCTGGGGATTCAAACTTCTGGCCCTTTCTCATGAACTCTTGCACCCACTAGAGCTCTTAGGATTTTGCCACCTGACTTCCCATCAGCTGGCCGTGCCCTGTGGCACCTCTGTGAAACTGTCCCTCTGGTTATGTACTAGCCAGTCATTACAGAGATACAAATAGCACAACACAGATGTGCCCACACATGAGCAACGTACAACATTTTGAGAAATTTTACAAAATGTTTGTTTCTTCTTCCAACTGCCATTCTGAGCATCAGAAGCCCTCTTGTCCCCTCAGTTTCCACACAGTCGTGTTTTGATTATGACATGTCATGCGGATGTACAGTGCGTTACATTTGGCCCCTACACCAGGACTTACCTGATCTTCAACCAATCATTTCTTCTTGCATGGATGTAGTTCTTCTCAAGGGCAAACATAAAAGAAACAATGCACACATTGCCGTATTAGGGGGAAAGATTATTGTTTGAACCATGATCCAAGTAAAAAAATTTTTTCCATTTCCCCTTCAACCGCCTGCTCCTTACTTATTACCTTCTTTGATGAATGGGACTGCTTTTGTGTTACTGTTCAGGGCCTCCACTAACCGCTAACATTAACTACATTACTTTATTTTCATTTGTTTCACTATGACTTCCCAGAATTCTATACATCTTATCATTTTGAATACTCAATTTGTTTATATGGCTCAAAAAACTTAAACCAAATAAAAATATTTTTAAAAAATTCTCATTCTCATCCCTGCATTTGTCCACTCAGTCCTATACCCCCACCCCAGACAAACACTTTTACTAGATCCCTGGGTTTTCTTCCACTGCTTTAGCTCTTAAAAGGGAGCCTTACTGATACACTTCACATACCACACAACTTACCCAGTCAAAGCACACCGTAGTTGTCAGTAGGTTCAAAGAGTTGAACAATCATCATTATCACACAGTCGCAGATTATTTTCATCACTCCAGAAAGCAGCTCTCTGCCCACTGACATTCACTCGTTGTCCCAGCTAGCTGTTCACAGCACTCACATTATAATCTTTATTTTCATGAGGTCCAGAGTGGTATGTCCTCTTTTTTTCTTCAGAAAGATCTTTTTTTTTTTTTTAAGATTTTATTTATTTATTTGACAGAGATCAAGTAGGCAGAGAGGCAGGCAGAGAGAGAGAGGAGGAAGCAGGCTCCCTGCCGAGCAGAGAGCCCGATGCGGGGCTTGATCCCAGGACCTGGAATCATGACCTGAGCCGAAGGCACAGGCTTTAACCCACTGAGCCACCCAGGCGCCCCTCCGAAAGATCTCTTATGTTAAACAGTCTCCTTTACTACTGTGGTATATTGTGAAGTTCCAAGAGGGAAATTAAAGACTGGAACTAACATTCTTAGATCACCATTTCTATTTCTGTAAACTTAAGCCAGTACTTTCTCTACAATATCCCTTTTATGTACGGTAGTAAGGGTATGTCTCTAAAGTGTGTCTAGTAACTTTTCAAGAGGTGACCAACCATGGCGGTTCTTCTAGATCAGATGATCTTGTTAATGGCATCTCCTACCACAGATAACCTGTGCTGACAAAAGGAAGGAAGACAGTAGTTACCTGGTTACCTATAGCTGAAATCTGTTTCCACATAAAGGACCACTGGGTCTAGGCTCAGAGAGTGTGACTCAAGGGAGAGAGATCTGTTACTTTCATTTGGTCATGTTAGGTCTCTGGGCATGTGTGTGCATGTGCTATGGAAGGTGCATATTCCTGGGCTCTAGTCAAGATTTACTGAATGGACTCTCTAAGGTAGAATTACACTGTCTTCCTGATAATGTTCCTAACTAAAAATTGTTATTTATAAACTCATACATATCCTAGCAAAACTCAATTTTAAAGTTTGTAGATTTAAAATAAACATACCTTTGCTATGGAGACCTCAGTAACTCTCAACAGGGTATGTCTTGTAAAGACTTCTGCCTATACTGGTCTCTCTACACTGAACCTAAAACATGGCCTCATCATACATCCTCACTTAAGTTTTTGTGGTGTAAACAGTGACAAAGTTGAGAGGATTAAGTTAAATGGTCCCTAGGTATGAACCTGAGACTAACAGCAACAGACACAACTCTGACTTCATGAGCCTGAATGAAAAGGTAAACCAGTCTCACGTATCAAATACACAAAACGGTGGTATAAAATATACTCCATTAAGTAAAAATGCTTTACCAGTCATTACAAAGGATGCAAGAGGCTTACCATATGAAAATGAAAGAATTAACAAGACTTTTCTTTCACTGCATGAGAATGCCCCTTTAGTTATGCTTTCTAACCATGTCATCATACCTGATGAGGGAAGGAAGGTCAGCTAGGTTTCTAGGCAACTATACTGTGGCAAAAATGACTCCTGGCTACTAAACTGTATCTGGACTAAATGCACTATAAATACCTGATGGGAACTTCGTGCTTTGGGCTCTTCTGGATGGTGTCTCTTAAAACTGACATGTCCCTTGTGGGGCCCCTGGAAGTTGTATTAGGGAACTATTGTTGTAAGAGGTAGTGGCTCTTTAAGGCCTGAGAAGGATCTCATCACCTTGCACCTGAACTGTATTGGATGAACTGCTACAGGACTTCCACTGCTAAGGGGCACTGCCTGATGGTTTTCCGGCAGCCCAGTACTCCTGTTTAATAGCCCCTGGAGCAGCCGACCCATGCCACGTGTGGCCACAGTTATCTTGTGAGTTTGAACGTGTACACCTAAAAAGATCCCTTTTGGTCAAAGCTATAAAATAGCTCTAGATGCATAAATTCTATAATTATATTATGATTGTTTAGTTAAGACCAAAAGAGACCCCTCAGGTGGGTGGAACAATAATAATTTCCTAAATATTGCTTAATTTTAATCTCATACTGAATTCATTTATTAATAAATAATAAAATTTAAAATGAATAAATTTTAAAAAGAAATTTAAATAAAAAATTTTTAACAAATAATAAATATTTATTTGCGAGAGAGAGAGAAAGAGAGAGAACACAAGCAGGGGGAGAGAGAGCAGGAGAAACAGGCTCCGCACTGAGCAAGGAGCCCAATGTGGGACTTGGGACTAGGATCATGACTGGAGCCAAAGGCACACACTTAACTGACTGAGCCATCCAAGCACTTCTGAATTCACATTTATACTTAATTTTGTTTACACTAAAACTGAATAAAAATAAATCAGAGATTCTGTATTTACTTTAATTATAAAGCAATGAAATTATCACATCAATTTAACCATTGTAAGTAACGTAGATACAATAATGTGTAAGACTTTAAAAACACTGTAACTCTAATAAAGAACAAAAATGAGTGAACTACTATTGAATTCTGGGCACTTCTGTGACAGGACACAAATTTTAAAATTTAATAAAATTCTACATTTTCTTTTTCTCCCCTTCGCCCCTTTAAGTTTATTTTATCTCTAAGCAATTCATCATGGTGCTCAAACTCATAACCCTGAGATCAAGAGTCTCATGCTCTTCCAAATGACCAAGCCAGGCGCCCCAATCCTACATTTTCTTAGCAAAAAGTTTCTTAAGTCAGATTTTCCTTTCAAACTGGTCTTCACATTTTAACTGGAGTTTCTTCTGAAGATTCATTTTATTAACAATTGCAAATGTCCTTTTAACACGTATAATGTGTACCATATGCTAGAATCAAATATTTGAAGAAGTTGGAATTTTATGAATACAGCCAGGACAACAATGAAGAGAGTCGTGAACAAAAACATCACAGTCCACACAGAAAACATTTTGGCACACAGCACAAACATAGACCTGCAGAGAAAAAGAAGAAAAGAAAATTTAGAAAGCAGTTTCCAGAAGTACAAAACAGCTAGAAGACGTTCAAACTGCTTTGCTCTTTTAGATCTCTATCAATTTTCCCCACCCATCTACCTACTTTATTACTTTCAGTATACTATTCTCCAATCTAAGGTGATTATTTTTCAAAAAAACCTATTCCTCACAAATGAGAAAATTACTTTTTCTTGACTCCTTAAAGTTTCTTGTATTGTAAAACATTCTTAATTACTTCATTTGAAGTAACTACCAGGGAAGACACCTAAGGTTGAAATTAGTATTACTTTCAAAGCTTAGGTCATTCCTCTGATTTGATCACAAAGAAAATCATAAATATTTAACACAGATTTAGTTATTGCTAGGGAATGACCTCACAACCAAACAAGTTATATTCCTCTTTAACTATTAAAGAATACGGAAAAAACAAATTTAAGACAAAAAAAAATCCATTATTCCATCAATATTACATATATGGATACTTATGCCTTGGGGTGAAATTTCCAAGGCAGCATCCTAAACAGGTTAAAAATTATTACATCTCAAAAAGTACAGAAATAAAGACAAAGTGTTTTCAACGATATTTATTTATTTATTTATTTATTTATTTATTTATTTTTACATTTATTTGGTAGAGAGAGAGAGATCCCAAGGCAGGCAGATAGATGGGCAAAGCAGACTCCCCATTGAGCAGGGAGCCCGATGAGGGGTTGGGGGTAGGGGGGTGGCGCTTAACCATCTGAGCCATCAGGTGCCCCAAGACAAAGTGTTTTTAAAAACTGTCAAGTGAGGGGTGCCTGGATGGCTCAGTAGGTTAAATGGTTAAGCCACTGCCTTTGACTCAGGTCTGCATGGATTCCTTGCTCAGCAAGGAGCCTGCTTCTCCCTCTGCCAGGCCCGTGCTGTGCTCCCTCTCTCACTCTGACAAAAAAGTAAAATCTTTAAAAAAAAAAACCTGTCAAGTGATTCAAAGGTGGCTCTAGTAAGGATGAAGCCACTGATGTCCAAGAGGAATGTAAAACTTAATAAAATCGTTTTATGAATTGTGAGAGTAGAATAAGCAAGCAATCTTCCCAACTAGTATTTCATACAGGGCATAAAGCATAGTTTTAAATATGAACACATAAATTCATAAAAACTTAAAACTAGACAGCTGTCTTATTTGCATCTTTACATAAGTGTATACATTCAAACTGGTCCCCTTCAAAAATTTAAAAGATATTTTCTCATTAGGACAATGGGGGAACAGCCTTTTACCTGTGGCTACCTTTAGCAACAACTTCAGAACAAACTGTGAAAGAGCCTGAAATACCATGTGGAGAAAGAACTCCTAATACTTCCAAAATAAATAGGAGGGGAGCTTGCCAACTAAAGACTGTTTGTTTGTTTATTAATTAAATGTAAGTGGATTTTTAATTTTTAAAATTTTTTTTAAGGGGGGGTGGGTTGTTTTAAGGTTTTATTTATTTGATAGGGAGAGAGAGACAGCAAGAGAGGGAACATAAGCAGAGGGAGAAGCAAGCTTCTCTCTGAGCGGAGAGCTTGATGCAGGGCTCCATCTCAGGACCGTGGGATCATGACCTGAGCTGAAGGCAGATGCTTAATGACTGGGCCACCCAGACACCCCAGTTGTTTTTTTTTTAAGGTTTTATTTTTATTTTTTTTATTTTTATTTATTTTTTTAAGATTTTATTTATTCATTTGACAGACAGAGATCACAAGTAGGCAGAGAGAGGCAGGCAGAGAGAGAGAGAGGAGGAAGCAAAGCAGGCTCCCCACGGAGCAGAGAGCCCGATGTGGGGCTCGATCCCAGGACACTGGGATCATGACCTGAGCCGAAGGCAGAGGCTTTAACCCACTGAGCCACCCAGGCGCCCCTAAGGTTTTATTTATTTAAGAGAGAGAAAGACAGAGACAGAGAGCATGAGAAGGGGGTGGGGAGGAGTAGAGGGAGACAGAAAAGCAGGCTTCCTGCTGAGCAGGGAGTCTTGACATGGGACTGGGTCGCAGGACCCCCGGATCATGACTTGTGCTGAACACAGACAACCGACTGAGCCACCCAGGTGCCAACTAAAGACAGTTTAAAGTACCAAAATGCTGTTACAGAAAAATGAAAATGCAGAATTATAACAAAGACTATTTAAACCATTTTACTCCCATTTTATCTCTACCCGTTATCCTACTTCTGGGAATAACCTGATAGGAGCCTGGTTTTCGGTATGTACTGGAAACTTCTAATGTTATTTCCTCAATATTTCTTACATAATACTTAATATTTATTTATTTATTAAAAAAAAAAAAGATTTTATCTATTTATTTGTCAGTGAGAGAGACAGCACGAGCAGGGGGAGCAGCACCAGGGTGGAGGAACCAGGCTCCAACTTGATCCCAGGACCCAGGATCATGACCTGAGCCAAAGGCAAATGCTTAACCAAATGAGCCACCCAGGCATCCCAACACTTAATATTTAGAAAGTAGATGAACTTACATGTTGGTCTTTCAATTCCCCCTGACATCCGTAACAAAATCTGAAAAGAAAGTTTAAGAATCATTTTGTTAGGAATGCATTCCTTAAAATAGCGAGGCAAAATCTCAGTAACAAGAATCCTGTAATTAGTATTTATCTTTACACATGACTTTTATGAGAAAAACAGAATTAAGAATACCAATAACTTAAGAAATTCTACAGTATATTGCAAGATCATCTCAGAAAGCAGAATCCTACTTCAAAAAATTTGTTAAATTTTATTTTCATCAAGGTTAAATATGAGCATGCTTTCCCTACTGGGATTCTGTGAGGGAATTACACCCTACAGAAAATAATCTGAGTGACTATTCTGCAACTCTCCTGAGAATAGCAGGTAGCTAGTATAATTCCAGATGGACAGAAGAGAAGCTAATTCATGTCTGGATACCTAAGGGCTTAATTTTCAAGGAATGGTTTTAAGAGTTAAAAGTTCTCAAAACTTACTACAAAAAATAGCAGCCCTCTCCTTACCAACCCCACTTCATTTCCAGTTCCCAAACACTTTCGGAACTTGTAACTGTTTGATAGTTACCCTCACTTACACTGCTATTTCTTGTTTTTCTGCCATTGGCTATAAGCCTCCAACTAAAGAAGATCAGAATTTAATTTTCTTTCAACCCTCTTGATCCAACAGCACATACACACATATAACTAATGCCATTTTCAATTCTATGTACTGAAATAATTTTGAATAGAGTAATATTAAATGCTTAGCTTATGAGGACTATATAAACATATTCAGGGGTGTCTGGGTGGCTCAGTGGGTTAAGCCTCTGCCTTCGACTCAGGTCCTGATCTCATGGTCCTGAGGTCGAACCCCACATCATTGCATCATTGAACTCTCTGCTCAGCGGGGAGCCTGCTTCCCCCTTTCTCTGCATGCCTCTCTGCCTACTTGTGATCTGTCAAGTAAATAAATAAAATCTTTAAAAAACAAAAAAGGCTTATAATTTAAAAAAGGGACAAATGAAGAATTTTTAAAAAGCCATATAATACAACTCTTCCAATCTTCAAAATATTTTTTTCCTGGAGTTAATAACTATATTGTTGTCCACAAGCTTAGTTTTCTATATAATTACCACCAACACAGCCTCAACTTTTCCCTAAGAAATCTAAATGTCCTCTCTACATTCACCCACATCAGGAATTCCAGTTTTCGCCCTCTTGGTGACCTCTCTCCTGGAACATTCTAACCTTCTCCAAACTGGACTATTTTGACATGTGACACAAAAGTGTTATTCTGGAATCTCCCCTTCTCATCATCCTAGAGCTTTCTTTAGACACATTTGAACTAGATCAATATTCCTATATTCTTCCGGTCATTCTCTTTCTCGGTTCCTCTGAATCATCGCTTCCACAGCTTCCCCAGAAAGTCTTTTTGAAGCCTCACAAGTCTGAAAATGTCTTTATTCTACCTACATTTATTTTTTTTTTAAGTTTTTAAAAGGTTTTATTTATTTATTTGAAACAGAGAGCAAGCATGAGCAGTGGGGGAGGGGCACAGGCAGAGGGAGAAGCAGGCTTGCACTGAGCAGAGACAGATCCCAGGACTCTGAGATCATGACCTGAGCCAAAGGCAGATACTCAACTGACTGAGCCACGCAGGTGGTCCTCTACCCAACATTTAATTGATAGGTTTGCTAGGTATGTCATTTAAGTTGGTAACAACTGTCCAAATGTTGAAGGAAATCTTGCTCTCTGGTAGCATCCAGTATTGCTAAGAAGCAAAATAATTTTTTTTTTAAAAGATTTTATTTATTTATTTGACAGACAGAGATTACAAGTAGGCAGAGAGGCAGGCAGAGAGAGAGAGGAGGAAGCAGGCTCCCTGCTGAGCAGAGAGCCTGACGTGGGGCTCAATCCCAGGACTCTGAGATCATGACCTGAGCTGAAGGCAGAGGCTTTAACCCACTGAGCCACCCAGGCGCCCCAGAAGCAAAATAATTTTAATTCCAGATTATGTGACCTAATTTTCCCTCATCAGAAATGTTTAGTTTTTTGCTGCTTATTCTAAAATTTCACAATGATAAACTCTAGCATGGGTCTATTTTCTCTATGTTAAGACTTCTGAGAGTCCCTTTCAAGTTCTGTCCTTCCATCGTAGAAAATGTCCTTTAACTATTTCTTCCCTACTCTTCATTTGATCTTTTCTCTATTTCTCTTATTATTCAATACTAGACCTTCTGGATAAATCCTCTGGTTTTATACCATGAAAATCAGCTAAGGTTGCAAACCGGGAATTTTTTTGTTGTTTTAGAGAGCTGATTTATCAAAATATATGACTACACTTACTATACAGAGATGGGCTTAGGGAAATTAATAGATTTCTGGAGATCCGGATCTGTTTAATAATGACTCATTTCAGTCAGAACCAAGGCGTTCTACCATCTCATTTTCCATTTTAGAAGTAATCTTGCCCAAGTTAACAGGACTATTTTTTTAATGTAATAACAACGCATTCAAACATTACTCTACCACGTATAACAGATACAGATTAATCAACACTCATATACTTTTCTCCATTATGTTCTTCTAGAGGAATTTCTTGAAAAGCATCCAAAGGAAATAAATGATGGTAGGACCGAGCCAAATGTGGAGCAGACACCAAAGTGAGACCTAACAAACAAAGCAGAGAATCATGTTTAATAGCCCAAACTTCATTAAGACAATGGCTGAAATGTCAAATGATAGGCTAAATATTTTCAAGGTTTTTTTAGGTTTGCTGGTACTCATTTCTTCATTTACAGATCACCTTAAAAAGGAGACTCCAGGATGGAGTCTGTCTTCTGTCATTAATCGTGTGACCTCTCTTGGCCATTTGCTTACTTAAAAATGAAACAAATTTCTACAATGCAATTACTTTAATTCCTCAGTGTCTTTACATATATTTTACAAAGGTTAAGAGCTGCAAAGATGTCTCCTGGATCTACTGCAAAGCCTTTGAAGAACACACTCCTTTCAGAGGGAGAATCAGAAAACTCCTGGAATGTCATGTTTATCCTTAGAAATGGAGTACTGGGCCCTCTATAAAAAGAGCAATCCTTAATATTTACATTTACTTTAAGAGCTACATAGGTAAGAAGTTATTCAAGATTAATTTACTAGATAGAGAACAGCTGGTTTCTTACCACAGATTTTACATTCAACTGGAAGCTCACAGTACTTGGCCCGACACTGTGGGCAGAAGTATCCTCCTAATGTAAGTCCTGGCTCAGTGTTGCTATCCAAGTGCCTGTGGGAGGAAACAGTACTTTTAAAGTTGTATAGAAAGATGGGAATGGTTACAGCAAAACAAAGTACACTACCTTGATTTTAAAATCTTGAAGCTGTTTCATAGTTCATTTAAGCCAAGGTTCATTCTTCTTTTCTCTCTGCATTTCTGTTTTGAATAGCGTATATTAATGTCTGTTTTTGCGGGGGGGGGTTGTTTTTGTTTTTAAGTAATCTCCACACCCAACGTGGGGCTTGAACTCACAATCCCAAGATCAAGAGTTGCATGCTCTCCTGACTGAACCAGCCAGGTGTGTTGCATTAATGTCTTTGAATTCACTCATTTTTTTCTTCTTGAGGGGCTCATCTGCTATTAGTTCCATCCAGTACATTTTTCATTTCAGACCCTGTATTCGTCTCTAAAACTTTTATTTGGGTCTTTTATGTAATAGCTGTTTTAATACTTTGTCTACTAATTCCATTAACTGTGTTGTTTCTAAGTATGTTTCTGTTCCATGAATCTCTCTTTGTTATGGGTCCTATTTTCCTACTTCTTTGCATGCCTGGTCATTTTTTGTGGGTGGGGTGCTAGTCACTTGTCAGTTACATTATCATAGGTGTCTTTGTGGGCTAAGTTTTTTCATCTGATAAATGCACATTCTTAAATTTAATGTCCAACTTATTTATTTATTTTGGTAGCATAATTCTTTTTTTTAATTTATTTTTTATTTTTAACATATAATGTATTATTTGAGGGGTACAGATTCATCACTCTTACACAATACACAGCACTCACCATAGCACATATCCTCCTCAATGTCCCTCACCCAGTCACCCCATCTTTCCCATCCCCCGCCCCTCCAGCAACTCTCAGTTTGATTCCTGAGATTAAGAGTCTCTTACAGCTTGTCTCCCTCTCTGGTTTCCTCTTGTTTCATTTGCTCCTCTCTTCCCCTATGATCCTCTGCCTTGTTTTTAAAATTCCACATTATCAGTGAAATCATATGATAATCGTCTTTCTCTGATTGACTTATTTCCATCCATGTTGTTGCAAGTGCAAGATTTCATTTTTTTTTCATGTCATGCCTGGTCATTTTTTTTTTTTTTAGATTTTATTTATTTATTTGACAGAGATCACAAGTAGGCAGAGAGGCAGGCAGAGAGAGAGGAGAAAGCAGGCTCCCTGCTGAGCAGAGAGCCCGATGTGGGGCTCAATCCCAGGACCCTGGGATCATGACCTGAGCCAAAGGCAGAGGCTTTAACCCACTGAGCCACCCAGGCGCCCCATGCCTGGTCATTTTTGATTGGCTGCCAGACATTATGAATTTTTCTGTTTCAGATGCCAGATTTTTTGGTATTCCAAAAAATATGTTGGGGCTTTTTCTAGAATACAGTAAAGTAACTTGGAAATAGTTTGAATGGTTCAAAACTTGCTTTAGAGTTCATCAGGCTGTCCAGAACAGCTGTTGGTCTAGGGTTAATTTGGTTCCATTACTGTGGACTCTATTCAGAGCCCACTGTTAAGATACCCTTCCACACTGGTAGGTAGGACCATGAAGTGTTTCCTGCCCCATGTGGGCTCCTACGACTATGCTGCCTGCTCCTCATCAGCGGTGCTTTCCTGGGCCTCTAGTAGCTCCCACACGAATGTGCTGGTCATAACTCTGCTGATAACTCATGGGGAAGTCTCTGCAATCTAGAGAGCTCTCTGTACATCTCTTTACTTTCTAGCACTGTGCCTGGAAAACTACAGCCATTTAGCCTCCCCTCAACTCTGAACTTGGGATCTTCACCTGACCAAGACCTCCAGGCTCTGCATGGGTTTTCCTTCCCTGTACTGCAGCCTGGAAATTCCCTCAAGGCAGTAAGTTGCACTCACAGGGCCCACACCTCATTTGCTTCCCTTCCTTCAGAAATCATTACCTGCTCTGCCTGTTGTCCACGTCTGAAAATCATTGTTTCATATATTTTGTCTGGTTTTCTGGCAGGAGGGAGGACAATACATTCAGTCTCTATTGTACCTTTATAGCTGAAGACACAACTCTTATTTGTGATTTTGAAGAATTGCTTTAATTTAGTTTTATAATTATGTAAAATAAAAAGCTCTGAAGTTAAAACACAGTATGTTCAAAAAGGCCTAGGAGCCATCCCTTTGCCCTTCTCCACACACCGCCCAGGTAAACATTTGTTTTTACTTTTTATTTCTGTTACTTTTTTTTTTTTTAACATTTTATTTATTTATTTGACAGAGATCACAAGTAGGCAGAGAGGCAGGCAGAGAGAGAGGGGGAAGTAGGCTCCCCGACGAGCAGACAGCCTGATGTGGGGCTCGATCCCAGGACCCTGAGACCATGACCTGAGCCTAAGGCAGAGGCTTAACCCACTGAGCCACCCAGGCGCCCCATAAACAAGTATGTATATCCAGTGAAATGTCCACCGTCTTCTTAGATGAGTAGCAGCATACAATACACTTTTCTCTAACTTGCTGTTTTACTTAGTAACAGATCCTGAAGATTACTTCACAGGAGTAAACGGAGACAGTCCTCACCCTTGTTACAGCTATCAAGAAGGTAACCTTTTACGAAAGCCATTGCACCGCAAGCGCGCGTACTCAGTTTATGTTCTTTTATTTATAGGAAAGAATTTAAAATGTCAAAAGATAATCTTATAGGAAAGAATTTAAAACATCAAAACATATAGGAATTAAATTCCTTCTTATGGAAAGAATTTAAAATGTTGGGACGCCTGGGTGGCTCAGTTGGTTGGACGACTGCTTTCGGCTCAGGTCATGATCCCGGAGTCCCGGGATCGAGTCCCGCATCGGGCTCCCAGCTCCAAGGGGAGTCTGCTTCTGCTTCTGACCTTCTCCTCGCTCATGCTCTCTCTCACTGCCTCTCTCTCAAATAAATAAATAAAATCTTAAAAAAAAAAAAAGAATTTAAAATGTCAAAACATAATCACTAACAGTTTTAAGGTTTTTACTTACGCCATGCTGAAAGAGGGTTTTGCGTCTTGATCAGACAGAGAAGCAATGGTATGCTGAGGAAATCCTTCAGAGAAGAAAATGTATTACTTTCTTTTTTCAAGCAAATAGCAAAATTCTAGGACTAGGAACCTAAAAAGGTTCCTACCAGAAAGCCCACAGAGTTGTACAAAAATTCTCTCTCCTGCCTTTCAGATTTATTACAGTATAGTCAAACTGACTGTAATTCCAGGTCATGAGAAAAATTAAAAGTGGAGAATGCGGGGCAAAGTTTTGTCTGTACATATGGTCGCAGATTCTAAAATTTATAATTATCTAATTTAATGACGACACATACTGCTTTTAAAAAGAAAATGTTTGTAAGTTTTAAATACTTCTGACATAATGGAGAAATCTATTACATAGTTGTCCACTTTCATTTTATTATTTAAAAAAAAAAATTTTTTAAAGATTTTATTTATTTGACAGAAATCACAAGCAGGCAGAGAGGCAGGCAGAGAGAGGGGAAAGCAGGCTCCCCAATGAGCTCCCAGGACCCTGGGATCATGACCTGAGCCAAAGGCAGAGGCTTTAACCCACTGAGCCACCCAGGCGCCCCATCCACTTTTCATTTTATATAAGAATATACTTCTATGTTTAAAATCTTGGAATGCCTAAACCCATGCAGTCTGTCTTCCATACATATTTTTAAATCGAAAATACATCCAAGAAAAACAAAAACCATAAAAAAAAGATTTCATTACAGAAAAATTTTAAGTCTATCTACATATCAAAACAAGTAAGTAAGGGCACGTTGGTGGCTCAGTCGGTTAAACATCTAACTCTAGATTTGGACTCAGGTCGTGATCTCAGAGTTATGAGATTGAGCCCCACACCTGGTTCCACGTTCAGCACAGTCTGCTCAAGACTCTCTTTTCTTCTTTCTGTCCCTCCCTGTGGCTTGCACATGCACACATTCTCTCTCAAATAAGTCTTTTTTTTAAAATAAAGATTTTATTTATTTGACAGAGAGAGACACAGCGAGAGAGGGAACACAAGCAGAGGAAATGGGAGAGGGAGAAACAGGCTTCTTGCCGAGCACGGAGCCCGATGTGGGACTCCATCCCAGGACCCAGGGATCATGACCTGAGCCAAAGGCAGACGCTTAATGACTGAGGCACCCGGGCATCCCTCAAATAAATGTTTAATAATAAATAAATATCTATTTTATTTTATTATTTTTTAAAGATCTTACTTATTTGAGAGAGAGACAGAAGGAGTAAGAGCAGGAGGAGGAGCAGACAGAGGAGGACAAACAGACCACGCATTGAGCACAGAGCCCAATGAAGGGCTTGATCCCAGGACTTCGAGATCATAACCTGAGCCCATGTCAGACACTTAACTGACTAAGCCACCCACACACCCCTAAATATCCATTTTAAAATAACATAAAATAAACACTTACCCATGCGAATAAGTGAACATTCAGAACTTGAGCTAGCAGGTGGAGGACTAACATGATGTGTCAGCAATTCTTTGTAATGGCTTTCATCTAGAATAACATGGTATGTGCCTAATCAGATGAAAAGTAAAAGGAAAAAAAATTAGCTTTCCAGACATAGGTACCAATCGTAGTTTCTTTTTTTTTTTTTTTTTTCAAGATTTTATTCTAAGTAATCTCTATACCCAAGGTGGGGCTCAAACTCAAAACCCAAGATCAACAGCCACATGCCCTTTTGACTGAGCCAGCCAGGTGCCCCTCAAATGTAATTCCTATGCAATTATGTAAAAGTTTTACCATTTGAAAATATATATTTTCAAAGTAAGTATTTAGGTTAAATGATCATTTTTCAAAAACCTCACTTAAATGACATCTCTAAACTGACTTCTCCAGGAATAATTATAATCACAAAATAATTAAAGCCAAGTTGTAAGATCTTTACAAAGTATTACGTATTAGTGAAATTTCTAGTGTTTCTTTTCTTTTTTTTTTTTTTTAAGATTTTATTTATTTATTTGACAGACAGAGATCACAAGTAGGCAGAGAGGCAGGGATAGAAGCAGGCTTCCCGATGAGCAGAGAGCCGGATTTGCGGCTTGATCCCAGAACTCTGGGATCATGACCCGAGCCGAAGGCAGAAGCTTTAACCCACTGAGCCACCCAGGCGCCCCTCTAGTGTTTCAAGACTTATAATGCTTCCTCTAAACACTGGCATAATTACTGAAAAGTCCCTGCATTTTGAGATGATATCTTATAGAAGCAATGACACATTTAAGAGGACTATCCATATTATGGATTTCAGGACATGAAGTGACTTAAATTCAGTACCTTAAAAGTAGATGAAAACATCCTAATTAACAAACTGTTACTTCTTACATAGTAATTATGAATAAATACTGAGGAATCTAGATATATACCACCAGTTTCACGAGCAAGTACAGTGCAAACCCGAACCTCTGCAGACAATCCGATAACAGACACTCTTATTTTAGCTGCCTTTAGGGTCTTCATAAAATCCATGTAAATGAAGGGTTTTGGGGGAAGAAAAAAAAAATGCAAAAATTAACATACTTGAAAAACAGAATTTTCTGAAAACTAGTAATAAATTCACTACAGAATTCTTTAGAGTTATGACTCTGGTTTTGATTATGAAAAAATGTAGTGGTTCTACCTTGATTAGATCATAGATATTAGATGGATCACAAGTTGTGAGGCTGCTAAAGATGATTAGGACTTCTCTACTTGTATGTCCAGGCATGTGTCTACAGAAAGATAAAATATATTCCCATTAGGTGTAACTAATTAATAAAAAATTTACCCAGACAAAATAGTCCATGTGGTTCATGTGTTTAGACTACAGAGTATCTCATTTGTTTTAACACTGCAAAGGAATGAACTGGGTATATTCTAAACATGTTAATGTAAATTTTTCTAAAATTAGCTACACAAAAAACTGATTCATTTACTGTTTCCATAAATATTTACTGAATACTCTTTTAGGTTCTAGGAATAGAGTAATAAGCAAGAATGAACAAGGTTTCTGACCTCATGAAGCCTACAAACCAGTAGATTCATTCTGTGCAAACTCTAAAGTGTACACTGGAAAAGTATGACAATACCATATGGATCAACTTTAAGGTGTGTCTTGGACAAAAGTAGCATGCTTCTTTTTTAAAGGCTATGATTTAACCTCACGGTGATTCAGAGTGATAATATTCATAAACATTAATTTTTGTGTATCATTTAATTATATGATAATTTATAGGACTTGAAGACACGATGGACTGTTTTCCCCTATCTAAAAGGTATCTATGCTTTTTGGAGCAATTTTATCAGCTATTTACACTTTCTGCTTCTGTCTGCATTGCTGGGCCCTCAGATTTCATTTGTGGATGCTGCTCTTGAGCCTACCTCTAATGCGGGTGTTAGCTCCTTCTCACCTACTTCAAAGCTAGAAAAATGCCTATTATATAAAGGTATAAAAGTCACAACAGACTTCCAGGGATAAAATATATGCGCTAGCACTAACAGAATATTTCCACTAGAGTCTTAACAACCTCCCACATATCTGAAGTGGCTGGGAAAGTATGCTACTAATTTGCAGATGTACTACAAAGTAAGGAAAGTCAATAAACGTACAACAAACTCAAAATTATTATGCACATTACATTTCATATACAATCTAATTTTTAACAAAATATTTTTCCATCAACATTTTCTTTTGTACTAGTATTGCTATAGTTTTAACTATTTTTCTAAAACCTCTAAGAATCTATCTTACCACCTCAAATGTAAAATAAAAACTACAAACGGACACCACACTAAACATCATAAATGAGATTACATACTTCTCTTAATGGTTTCATTACTGCTCAGTTTAGGAAGACACCTATCAGTACATCATCATCTCAATTCATTAAAAAAACTGGACACCAATTATAAATAAAAAATGTGAAATACCAACTTTAGAGTTTGCATAGCCATGCTTAAGGAGTTATAGAGAGATGGTTCTCCATGGCAGGTCATATCTACAGCCTTCTTCAAAGATGTTATATGTTTCCTTGGGTTTCCTAAAATAGAAATAGAATAATCTACTCATAACATTTTATCTATACATTACAGAAATTTCTGTTTCTCCCCAAACTTACCTATGTTGTTAAAGAACAGAATCTCTTTGATTTACATTTTTAACAAGTTGCACTTTTACCAGAGGCATTTGTTATATCAACTTTTACTTCATACAGAAAAGACAAAATAAAAAAGTTTCTATGAACTGGAACACATTTTTTTTTTTTAAGATTTTGGGTTTTTTAAAAATTTATTTGACAGAGACAGACACAGCGAAAGAGGGAGCACAAGCAGGGGGAGTGGGAGAGGGAGAAACAGGCTTCCCGCCGAGCAGGGAGCCCGATGCAGTGCTCAATCCCAGGATCCTGGGACCATAACCTGAGCCAACGGCAGACACTTAACGAATGAACCACCCAGGTGCCCCCACATTTTTTTTTTTAATGTGAGGCTTGAATTCATGACCCTGAGACCAAGAGTTGCATGCTCTACTGACTGAGCCAGCCAGGTACCCTATTAGCACATATTTTAAATATTATTAACAAAGTGCAAAACTTTTTAATTTTTAGACTCATACATTTTCACATCTCTGAAGTCATGCTGCATCTTCCAATCACTGGCAGCCAAGGAGCACCTGTGACGCAGACATCACTGCTCCCACGTGAACTTATGAATGGCTACTGCGGCCTTTTTCCAACTGCATCACGTACTTTTTAGTGCTATTCATGTTTAGTTTCACTGCCACTTCAAGTGTTTCTACAAAAGGTTATTAATGCAAAAGGTTCTATTTTTATTTAGAAAGGCAAGGAACAGAACAGTGAGGTATACATTTATTATTAGTGAAAAAAATTCATTGATAAAAGAAAAATTCCCTATTTTTCTTCAGAGGATTAAAAAAAGAGCTTTAGAAGACCTAAGAAAGGGAGATTTCTGCAAATAAACACAGCTGTATTATCTTCTGTTACCAAAATAACATCTGAAAAGATTGTTTATTGCTATTTTCTCACGCCAAGCAATACATTTTTTGCTGTGAACAATTTATATATATCATCTAGCACTGTAACAAATTTTAACTGCCAGAGTGCTTCCTTCTTGATGGCTCATAAAATAAAGGTATCTTACAAATGATGGAATCTCAGAATCAATGATATATGGTATTCTTCAGACATTTTCTTCTATTTCAACACTGTCTTCATATTAATTAATGAATTAAAATAAAAATATCATGAAATTGATTTGATCAGATAATTCATCAAATTACCTCCACACTACTGAACACTTCTTCCCAATTTGTCACTACTGTTACAAAGAGTGTATTTGTAGAATGAGGTTTTTTTCTTCTTTCATCATGTTTCTTAAGTATAAATTCCAAGGAACAACAATTTTTGTATCTTTTCCCAAAAATGTTAAATAAATTAGTCTATCAACACTATAGGTACCAGTTTCTCCATGGTTCCATAAGTAATATACTGCTTTTTAAACTTCATTTTGTTCATTTAAAGTATATAAAGTAATAAAATATTGAGTGGTTTTGATTTTCAATCACTTGACTAAAAATTTTTTTAATTATTTTTTTAACTCTTTTTTTTTTAAGATTTTATTTATTTATTTAACAGACAGAGACCACAAGTAGGCAGAGAGGCAGGCAGAGAGAGAGGAGGAAGCAGGCTCCCCAGCGAGCAGAGAGCCCGATGTGGGGCTCGATCCCAGGACCCTGGGATCATGACCTGAGCCAAAGGCAGAGGCTTTAACCCACTGAGCCACCCAGGCGCCCCTAAAATTTCTTTTTTAATAGCTATTTCATTTCTCTTTGTATTCTGGTATGAATTATCTGTCATCTTTGCCCATTCATCTATGTATAGCTTCTTCATGTTCTTATTTATCTAAGTTTTAAAATATCTGCCATTATTTAATACATATTTCAAGTATTTAGTCTCAGAATGAAAAAATTTTAGAAACGAGAAGTACCTCACTAAGTTCAAATCTGTCATTTCATAAGTAAGAAATGAATCTAACAAGTTAAAAGATTTGCCTAAAGACAACTACCTACCCAACAGCAGCACCAGCACTTAAACCTACATCTCCTGGCTCTCTACCCACTTCTCTTTCTACTATGCCATACAAAAGAGTTTGTTCATATCCTACTGTATTGTGAGCATAGGAAAAAGGTGAATTAATTTACTGTCAGTGTGGTTTACAGCAGTGATTCTGATCAGAGAGACAAGGGGTGCTGTCAAAAGGCCTATCAAAATATCCAGAGGACTTTCATCCCTATACATATGACTTCCCTGCACCCATAGAAAACTACTACGAACGTGAGAAGGGTGCAAGACAGTTGGTCCTATGTCCTTTCGTTGGGGAAACCATCCTGTCCTCTCAGTATAACAAACCAGCTGCTCCCCCTGCTTCCGTCATCCTGCTCCAGGTACAGGCAGGTAATTCAGGCAACCAACACAATACTGCACTTTTTGGGTCATTTTGCTCACGGGTGGGTAGGTCAGAAGCAGGGTCATTTGGAGACCTCTCTGGGACTTGTGCTGAAGCTACTGACTATGAGGGATATGCAGACTTGGGGCTAGTAGCAGACATCTTTTCACCTTACAGAAAACCTTCAGAGAATGAGGCCAAACAGAACTAGGAACCCTGGAAACTACTATGTGTGAAATCAGCCCTCCTTTAGATGTGAGTCAATAATTTCCCTTGTGTGCTAAAACTAGTTTAAGATATTTTTTAGTTACTCATAACTGAATTTCTTTTTTTTTAAAGATTTTCTTTATTTATTTGACAGAGAGAGATCACAAGTAGACAGAGAGGCAGGCAGAGAGAGAGAGAGAGAGAGAGGGAAGCAGGCTCCCTGCTGAGCAGAGAGCCCGATGCGGGACTCAATCCCAGGACCCTGAGATCATGACCTGAGCCGAAGGCAGCAGCTTAACCCACTGAGCCACCCAGGCGCCCTCATAACTGAATTTCTTGATCACTCCAGGCTAACATACGTATCACTCCTCACTGCCATTGTGAAAAACTATTAATTAATGACAAAAATATGTTATTTCACATTCATCTGTATTGGTAAGGATGAAAGGATGAGAACCACATTTAAAGGATAGTATATTTCAGAGACATCAAAACAGAATCAGTGATGTGAATTTGTTACAGCACATATACCAACGCAAATAAAACCTGCACTACCTTTTTTTTTTAAATTAACATATAATGTACTATCTGCTTCAGGGATACAGGTCTGTGAATCGTCAGGCTTACACACTTCACAGCACTCCCCATAGCACATACCCTCCCCAATGTCCACAAACCAGCGACTCTATCCCTCCCCCGCCCTCCACTGCACTTCCTTTAAGAGAATAAAATTCAGTTAGGCATGTCGTGTAAGGAGAAAAACTGAATTATTAACAATAACTGCAACTCAATTTTTAAACCCTTTGCTCTTTAGAGGTTTAACTTTTAAAAAATTAATTTTAAGAGTAAGTGGATTTTTGGAGTTGTTACAATAATTTTATCTTAATACTTTCAGGATAAGAATCTATAAGTCTTATATAAACATTTACATTCATTGCAGTAGTATCCATTACTGTACAGAACTCAATTTAAAACAGTTCATCTTAGATACCAAGAGTTTAATGAAGGATTTAACGGACAGGTTATTAAGAGTTTCACATGGACAGCATAAAAGAAGTCTCCATTTTACTTATTAGGCAACCTTCTGAACAGGGTTACAAGGTTGAATAAATAAAGCCAAGTCCTTGAGTTCTATAAAGGTAATTTTATGCATACCTGAGAGTTCAGTCAGTTTTTCAGCTCTTTTACTCTTTGTTACAATTATTCCAATCTCAAAATAAAAACAAAAATGATTATTAACAAATTATTTCTTCTTCGTAAGAATGTACATAATGAAAATAAATTAGTAATTACAAACGGCGTAAGTAACATATGAGAAACTTTTTCTCATGATGCTTTTGACAGAAATTTAGCTATGAGTTCACTGTACATTATTTAACTTTTAGAATTGTCTTGTCACTGGTAAGTATACCAGAAACTGCTACAAAATCTGGGTCACACAGTAATTCACAGAATGTATGTCCAAAGTTTTAAAAATAAATTAGAATTGGCAGTAATATCAGGAATCTAATTCTGAATTCCATCACTTATCTACATACCTGACTAATAGGATTTTGATCAAAATATTCTTCTACGAAGTATTCCAACAACTGTTTAAAGAAACAGAAATATTAGATAAGGGCAAAATAATAACCACACAGAACATGTTTTGTGTAACCCACTTATCAAGCATTACTTCTCATGATTTTTAGGCTCACAGATTTTCAAATATGTTTAGTAAAACTATTAAATAAACAAAAATAAATGTAAGAACATTGAAATAAATAAAAATCACAATATTAAACAAACGTGAATTTAAAATGCTAAGTGATGAAATGGGTTTAACAGATGGAACCAGGGCACCGGGTGGCTTAGTTGGTTAAGGGTCTGACTCTTGATTTCAGCTCAGGTGGTGATCTCAGGGTCATGAGATTAAGCCCCAAGTCAGGTTCCGTGCTCAGTGGGAAGTCTGCTGGAGATTCTGTCTGTCCCTACACCACTCCCTGGCACGTGTGCTCTAATAAATAAATCTTCAAAAAATAAAAAGATAAATAAAAGATGGAGCCATCTGGACTTATGAGACAGAAATAATCTAAACATGGAAAGCTCCAATGAAGCCAGAAACAAGAGAATGAGCAGAAACGAGGATGGGTTTTGATAAATTAGGAATATTTTTTTTTTTTTTTTTTAAATTTGACAGAGAGAGATCACAAGTAGGCAGAGAGGCAGGCAGAGAGAGTGAGAGGGAAGCAGGCTCCCTGCCCAGCAGAGAGCCCGACGCGGAACTCGATCCCAGGACCCCGAGATCATGACCCGAGCCGAAGGCAGCGGCTTAACCCACTGAGCCACCCAGGCGCCCCGATAAATTAGGAATAATCTGAATGTGTTTCTGAACTGGGGGGAATGATCTGAGTAAGTCCAAAGACAGTGAAAACGGATAACTGATTGACAAAGCAAGACCATGACTAGGGTGAGAGGACAGAAATTAAGAGCATAAATAATTAGCCAGTTTGTTCATTTTCCTAAATAATGTGATGAAACTTCTACTTAGTTATAGTTTGTATTAACTCAAAAAAGTGCATTCTTTAAAAAAATTTCTTCATGGGAATGTGTAATATTTACCCAAGAGTAGAGGGTAGACAGAAAGACCTATGACCAAGTCCTAGGGCATTCCGGCATTCTAAAGTGGGAGAGAGGAGCCTAAGGAGAAACAGAGACTATATGTGACCAAAGTCAAAAGAAGGAAGTGTGGGGCACCTAGCTAGCTCGGTCCTTAGAGGGTGCGAATCTTGGTCACAGGATCCTGAGTCTGAGCCCCACATCAGGGGTAGAGATTACTTAAAACAAAACAAACAAACAAACAAACCCACCACACAAACAAAAAACAAAAGAAGAATGCCTTTGAGGAAGGAAGAAGTGGTCAACTATTTCAGTTGCTATTAAAGATAAAAAGGAGTTGAATTTCACCTCCTAGAGGTTATGGTGGACCTTGAAAATGTAGTTGTGAAAATAACACTCCAACTGGAGCGTGTTAAAGGGAGAATGCTGCAGACATTCAACTGTGGAGGTTGATCAATACTGCAGTAAATATACACATTCACCAACAGAGAAGATAAAAGACAAATATAATCTAATAAATTTTACAAACTCATGTACACGAAGTACACGAAAAGGAGCAGAGGATTCTGGAGCAGAATGCAGTCCAGCTGTATGACTCAGTTTCTACCTCATCCTACTCCTCTGAAGCCCCATTCACCACTGAAAAAAATCCTGAGAACTTCCACTAATACTCCTGCTTTTGGAAAGAAGTGAAGAGAACGAGTATTCTTATCTTTTTCCTCCTCTGCCAGACGTTATGAATGAATAGGGAAAGAAATAAAGAACTGACCTTCCTTTTTAGAAGAGAAGAACCCAAGCTTCCACTTAATTGAGGGAAAGAGTTCAAAGGCTGGAATCGCCTCATGGAAATGCATTATTTCCTCCCTCCTCTGCCCAGTTAGTTAAACAAGATACAGGATGGTTAATATAATCTCAGAAGATAAAACGAAGCCCTGTAAATCCAACAGAGTCCACGCACCACCCAAGCTGAGCCTCACCCCTTTGGTGCACACCATTTCACCCCGGGGGCTACTTTTAGGCCACAGAAAAGTAGAAAAGTTCAGTACTCTGAACTACCCAGTCTAAAATCAAGCTTTAGAAGGGAAAAACATGATCCACACAAAAACCTATTCATAGAGGTTCCCAGCAACATTATTCATAATGGCCCCCAAAAGTGGAAACAACCCAAAGTTGTACACAACGGAATACTGTTTGGCAAAACTACAGAAAATTTTTCTGTTTGTTTTTCTCCCCGCACCCCTTTTTTTAAAGTTTTATTTATTTAAGTAATCTCTACACCCAATGTGGGGCTCAAATTCACAACCCTGAGATCAAGAGTTGCATACTCCTCTGAGCCAGTCAGGCACCCCTGGGTTTTCTTTTCGTAATGATAAAAATGCTCTAAAATTGACTGTGGTAATAATGTTGCACAACTACTGTAATATGCAAAAACCTGTAACAGTATATTTTAAGTAAGTTAATTTTATGGTATATGAATTATGTCTTAATAAAGACCTTATAGTAAAAATTTTTTTTTTCTTCAAATTCAGCATCCTTTTTCACATTTAGTATAAATTAAAATGGTTTTACAATACCTTTAAAGTACAAGTCAGTCTATTTGGCTTTAAGTCTTGGTCTTCCATTGTTCTTGATCCATCTACTACCACATAAAGATGACGCATCTACCAATATAAACCACAAATATAATTTCAAATAAATTTTTGGCCAAGAAGTAAAAATGGCATTTAGTATTTACATATTCTACACATACTTTATTTTTTTAAAGATTTTATTTCTTTATTTGACAGACAAGAGATCACAAGTAGGCAGAAAGGCAAGCAGAGAGAGAGAGGGGGAAGCAGGCTCCCTGCTGGGCAGAGAGCCCGACACAGGGCTCGATCCCAGGAGCCTGGGATCATGACCTGAGCTGAAGACAGAGGCTCTGAGCCACCCAGGCGCCCCTCTACACATACTTTTTATTATATTCGTCTAAAACATTTATAGTCTTACTACTGTTAATTCTGTCATGACAGAATGTTTCTCTAACCCAACTAGTTCTGTATTGGTAAAGAAAAAAAATGTCAACATACCATTCCAAGTCGAACTTGTCCATGGTGCTCAAATACTCTGTTAAAATTATGTAAACATTTTAATGGAATGTCCTCTGTTATACCCCAAAAAATACAACTTTTCAACTAGCCTGCATTTTTTAGTGAAGCAAATTATTAACTTATGTGGTCCACATAATTACAGGCATTCTGGACAGTTCCTGAAGACCCATTTCCCTTCTAAGGTGGTAGGTTGCCGGTTCTTTCCCCTTACTCAAGAGTTTAAAGGTCAGTTTCCCTAGAATACAGCTGAAATGAAGTACTGAGGAGTGGGTATAGGAGGACAGAAAGGCTTAAAGGAATCTATTTTATCTTTTGTAACACACAAAATTTTACATACCTTTTTCTCTTTGCTTTGAAGAGAATGTCTTCTATAGTAGCTTTAAGTGATCCTGATTCATCTTCTTTAAGAATCTCCCTAAAAGCAGTATTTACTTGTTTGAAAAGCTAAAAATTTATTAACTCAAAAGAAATTAAAACATATATTCACACAGAGATCTGCACATGAATGTTCACACCTGCATTACTCGTAAAAGCCAGAAAGTATAATCAATCTAAATGTCCATCAACTGCTGAATGCAAGAATGAAAACATGGTATACAATATAATGCTCTCCAGTAATAAAAAGGAATGAATCCCTCATCCCTGCTACCACATGGATCAACCTTGAAAATACTGTTATCTGAAAGCAGCGAGACAATACTGGTCACATATTATATGATTTCATTTACATGAAATATCCAAAAAGGCAAATGCATAGAGACAAAAAGTAGATTAGTAGTTGCCTCCGGCTAGAGACAAGAATGAAATTAATCGCAAATAGGCATGAAGGATCTTAATGGGGTGGTGAACATTTTCTAAAACTGATTTATGGTGGTGATTGCACAACTCAATAAATCTAAAAAATCAATGAATTTTAAGTTGGGAACAGGTGAATTTTAACATGCGTTAAACACGCTTCAATAAATTTTAAAAACCAATCACTGAACGAGAAGAGAGACAAAGTTGTAAAGAACAGTAAGAAACGAGGTGTAAAAGAGAAGGGAGAGATAATGCCTACTCACCACGTCCTTTCATAGCCTCCTTCCCATCGCTTAGTTCTTTCAGGTTCTTCATCCATTTTTTCCTTTAACGTATTATTCAATAGCCTGTAAAAACCACGGAGTGTGAATTTTCTAAGAATATTTGGCACCAGATTCATACATTTAAATGTGGAAAAGTAGGGGCGCCTGGGTGGCTCAGTTGGTTGGACGACTGCCTTCGGCTCAGGTCATGATCCCGGAGTCCCGGGATCGAGTCCCGCATCGGGCTCCCGGCTCCGCGGGGAGTCTGCTTCTCCCTCTGACCTTCTCCTCGCTCATGCTCTCTCTCACTGTCTCTCTCTCAAATAAATAAATAAAATCTTTAAATAAATAAATAAATGTGGAAAGTAAAGAGAGGGAAGCAAACATACAAAGTAAAAAACAGAGAATGTAAGGTCATTTAATTCCTTTCTATTTATTTAATAATCATTGTTGAATGAAAATACTGAACAAAATCCTCATGAACTCTTTTTCCCATCCGTAAGAAAAAATACAAATGTTCACACACGAGTTTGGCACCAAGACAGATAAGCATCTTTCTACAATTTTTAAAAACAAAAATCCATTATTATCATAGGATAAGACCACAGAATTATGGGAAGTGAGAGAAGGTACAGATGAAACAAGATTAGCTACAAATGATGGTTATTATTATAGCTGAGTGATGGATCATTTCACTCTACTACCTGTCCACCTTTGTATATTTTCTTATTTAAAAAAAAATAATAAGAATTTTCTTATTAAAAAAAAAAAATCTCTGGGGCTCCTGGGTGGCTCAGTGGGTTAAAGCCTCTGCCTTTGGCTCAGGTCATGATCTCAGGGTCCTGGGATCACATCCCGCATCAGGCTCTCTGCTCTGCGGCGAGCCTGCTTCCCCCTCTCTCTCTGTCTGCCTCTACGCTTACTTATGATCTCTCTGTGTTAAATAAATAAACAAAATCTTTAAAAAAAAATCTCTAAGTAAGCTCTATGGTGAAAGTGGGGCTCAAACTCATAAGGTGGATACCAAGAGTCACATGCTCTACTGACTGAGCCAGCCAGGTGCCCCATCTAACCATGAGTTTTAAAATGAAATATATTATTTATAAATGGTAAAAGCTTATGGCTCATAATTCAAAAAAGGACAAAATATTAAATGTTTATTATGCTCTCAACTATTAAAAAAAGAAAAAGGAAATGTTTTATAGCTCAATAAATAGGACAGTTTCATCTAGATGAAGGTTAACTGGTTTTTTGCTTTATTACTTTCTGTATTTTCATGTTTTTTACGTGAACATGTATTTCTTTAATAATCGGGGATGAAAATGGTGGTGGGGGAAATCTATTAACCACAGCCAAGTAGTAAACATTCTAGTCACATCTACACTTCCATCCTCCCAAATGGTATATCCCTCCCCATCCTATGCTCTCACTTCCTTTGGCTTCCTTCTTCCATATATGATCAAAGGAATCCTAAGGGCTAAGAAGACATTAAGGCAAACAAATCCTATCACTGACAGGAGCAAAAATTAATTTCTGTAATAAGGACCATAAGCAAGACCTTACACTTCCACTTATATCATGGTTTTCTACAGAAAAATGTATTTTAAAATCTAGAGAACTGACTTATCATGGACTTCTGAAATGAACATCTACTGACAAATTGGAGACTGGTATCACTGCTTTCTGTGGCACCTACTATCATCAGGTATTATTTGCTAAAGTTCTGTATGCCTCTCACTCAATTGACAACCATTCCTGGGCATAGGAAGAGTTCTATTGGTTTCAGGAAATCTGGTGATCTACTTTAGCATACTTCAGTAAAGTGCCTGAAGCAATGACAAATGAATTAGAATTCCAACATTTGTATTATTTCAATGCACTGGGCTAGTGCTTGTAAATTTAATGATGACTGCAGGCAGAGGATATGGTGATTAAATGAAGTTTTTGATCTTACATGAAAGTTTCTGTATTTACTGTGAATTACAAAAATCAAAGCTTACATAGCATTCATGATGTTTTTAAACTCAAATTCTTACGAAGTCACTAATGCCATCCATCATACCAATATTTAAACCGCTATTTTACTCTTAGTTTACTACTTTTAATTTTCTGGAAGTTCAGAAACACAGTGAGAATTAAAGAACAGAAGCTGCGAAGAGTAATACTTCTGGCTCACCACATCCAAGGACTTCCTAAGTAGAGCTGTCTGCACTGGGAAATTATAGGGATGGGACAGAGGTATTAAGCTCCCATAACTACTGACGTTCAAGGGGGAAACTGGAAGTTTATAATGGATGTTATTAACGGAGAAGGTTATGCATCCTAGAGAAAGATGTACTTGGTGACGTCTTAGGTCCGTATCTCCAAAAGATCCGTTTCCTGAGGCTCCAACTCCAGAAAACCCACTTTGCCTAGCATAAGCCTGTCCGTGTGATTCCTGTCACACGAACTCAGAATGCTGCTGCAAACAAATGAGATCTGCACCAAACATCGCAATTTATGAAGCTTTTATTCACACATTACCCTGCCAAGCTACGAGGCATGGGTGATCACTGTCCTGTTTTCATACATGGAACTCGAGGTTTAAAACGCTGGTAACTCTCTCGAGGTCACACAGCTGGAAGCAAGTTATACTCTAACTCAAGACCACAATTCCCAAAACTCGCATTCTCCTTTAGAGAAGGAGAGCCATGCCCTGGACTACAGCCCTAGATGCTTCTATGCAGCTACGGGACGGAAGCTGCCGTCCTCCCCCTCCACACGCTCTCTCCCACCCTCAATCCACAACCTGCTGGTCGAAGCCCTTCAGCCTCCGCCCCCCAACCCTCCCGCCCGGCCACGAAGGCCCCTCCTTGCTGCAGCGCTCCCCAGACCGTCTGTTTCCACCTTGGCTCCGCTAGGACCTCTACCCGATCACTCACCCGTCTCGTAGGACGCCGCTCTACCCGGAAGCTCCGCCCAGTCTGCGCCGAGGCCTCTGCGGAAGTCCTTCCCCCGAGCGCGGCGGCGACGCACAAACGTTCCGGATGATGAGAGCATCGGTCGCGAGAGCAAGGGGCCCGGGGACGGGGCGTTCCAGGAGCTGACTTAGGGTGCGAGAAGGAGCCTCTTACCCCACTCTCAGCCGTTATTCACAAAAAGGCAGGAAAAGTGATGTCCACTCTGCCGGGTAGCCGTCGGACCGGGATCTTAGGAGCTTGAATTTGGTGTATTCTGAATGCAGCAGCAGCAACTAAGCCAGAACCTTGCCATGGAACAGTTTTCTGGGGCCGCTCCGCTGCCCTGTTCCTGCAAGAAGTATTATGGAGCACCTGCTTTGGGCCTGATACAGTTCTAAGCACTGAGTAAATAGCAATTAAAGACTAATCCCTGCCCCCCCCCCCCGTGGAATTCTTCTACTATGAATACATTTATCGAGAAAAATATACTGTATCAAATTTTTCTCTATTCTATAAATATACTGTACAAATTTTCCTCTATTTCTCTATTCTCTATTTTCTGTATCAATTTTTCTCTATTTGCACTGTGACTGCAAATAGAGAAAAATTAAGCATGGAAGGGGAAAATGGCACCAGCTTAGCAGAGCGCAGTCAGAGGAGTCCTCACTGAGACGACAGTCGAGCCATGACCAGAATGAGGAAGGGAGTTAACCATATTTACAGCTAGGGCAAGACCTCCTGAGGCGAAGGGAACTACAAGAGCTACGGCGCGAGCTGGAAACACATCCATGTGTTTCTGGGACTGAATGAGAAGATGGGTTGAGTGATGGCAGCTGAAGGCGGCTGGGGGCTCTCGACGTTTTGAAAACTTGGACAGATGATAGTGGTTTGGATGAGGGCGGTATGGCAGTGCAGCTAGCGAAAAGGGTTGGATTCTAATCTTGTCCATAGACCAGATGTGGGTTAAAAAAGAGCCAGTGACCCAAAAGTTTTCAGTTGAGCAACTGCCAGGTTAGAGTTGCGATTTCTTAAAGGATGGGGGATGGGGTGTTGATGAGTTCAGTTTTGGACAAGTTTGATGTGTGATGTCTGTGATGCCTGCTAAAACATACAGAGTTAGTAGTGTGCATGAACACTGTAGGGCCTTAAAAAGGGAGAAAGATGTCAGCCTTCTGTGACTGAGGTGACCTCAAGCAGAAACCAAAAACAAGAAGTGGAAAACCAGATAAGCAGAGGCCATAGGATTTTTCATGTGTTTATGTGGAAATCAGTGAAACTGAATTTTTACAACTGATTATATGTCCTGACACATAATTATACATTAGATAACTGCTTGCAAGCACATCTACCCCTTCCTGCTTTGCTGTATATAACCCCCTGTGAAGGTGAAAGTTTCAGAGCAGTTCTGAGCAATCTGAAACACTGTTTCCTGGGCTACAGTCCTCAGTTAAGACAAATAATGCATTTATTAACCTACTTGGAGGGGGGCTTTTTTTTTTTTTTTTTTTAAGACGACACTAGCATTTCCCACACTTAAGAAATGGCTGGGCAAGGCCCATGCAGAGCGTCAGAAAAAGCTTACGCCCAGGAGATGAACAGTGGGAAGGAACTGCAGGAACTGGAGCTTACTTCCCCATCAGCATACACTGCCCCCACTCTGCTGCCTATATTGCTTTGTTGGTACCAACATCTCCCCTTAGCTTCTGTCTGCTCAAAAATATAAACACCAGCCATGCAGCAGGATACTGAAAAGACCTGGATTTAAAATCAGGCTCTGCCACACTGGGTGGGTAGCCAACAAGCAAGTCACAAACTACATGTGATGTATGAAGTGGCGATACCTTCAGCTACCCTACAGGCTTACACATCACATAATGGCAGCTCCGTTACCAGCTACTTTTATTCCCCCCCCCCAGAAGACAAAGGCCTTGTTATTTTCAGTGTTGTCTTTAAAAAGGAAAGGAGGAGAATTTGGCATTGCTGAAATCTTTCTCAGTGCCAGTCACCTTTCATTTTTGCCTCCCCCACATCTTTAACTCTTCACAGGACTCACACTTTTTCCTCGCCCTTCCTACTTTCCTCTGTCCTCCCTTCCTTTCACCAACTCCACTTCTTCCTTTTTCTGTTCCTCCATTCTGGTTGGCCATCGTGTTATAAGACAGGATGCATTCCTATGGGACAACTGGCCACAACCCCAAGCCCCAAGTATGTGTCTTGTATATGCTCACAATCCATTAGTCTGGGAAAGCCTTTTTTTTTTTAATTAAAAAATTCTAATTTTTTTTTTAAATGTAGGGTCCACACCCAATATGGGGCTTGAACTCATGACTCTTATCAAGAGTCCCATGTTCTACCAACTGAGCTAGCCAGCAACCCTAGGGAAGGCTTTTCTTTTAAATGGGAGGAAAAAAAAAAAAAAAAAAAAGAGTCCCCAGCAACGTGCATTTGTGGAGAGGAGGCTGGATCATTCAAATTCACAACTGTGAAGTTTACTCTCCTCTGTATATATTTTAGTCAAGGATCTTAACTAGAAGTTGTACCAAGACAAAACAAAGCGTGTATAAATCCATGGTAATCCCCTGACATAACTAGGGCTGACACAATATTCTAATTGTGTACAAATTGGGAGAAGAAATGGATCTAATCTAGCCTAATGTTTCAACTAGTAAAACTAAAGGATAGCTATGAAGAATGGAACAGTCTGTTCTTTGCCCATGGGTAGCTAGACAGAGCCACCAGGGTTAATAAATTTATGAAGAGCTCAGCCAGTGTTATTATGCCGAAATTCAGACTGGGAGAGGTAGACTTGCCTATTCCAATACCTTTAGATGAAACCTCACACACTGGAGAGACTCATTAAAAACCTCCACAACTTTTTTTTTTTTTTTTAAGATTTCATTTATTCATTTGACAGACAGAAATCACAAGTAGGCAGAGAGGCAGGCAGAGAGGCAGGCAGAGAGGGGAGAGGCAGACTCCCTGCTGAGCAGAGAGCCCGATGCAGGGCTCAATCCAGGATCCCAGGATCACAACCCGAACCGAAGGCAGAGGCTATAACCCACTGAGCCACCCAGGCGCCCCAACTGCTTTTAACAGTATAGACTAATCCTTATTTTGACACGTAAAGGATTTGTTCATCATCCCTGAAGTCACAGTGCCAAGCCTAATGCCGTTATCTATCTAAAAGTCAAAAGAATTGATACCCTAAGGCTGCACCCAGCACAGACCAATAAGGATTGGGATGATTATACACTCTTACACACGATTTGCTTTTTAAAAGCTTGTTTCGAGTCTCACCTTGCAGCTTTGGAAACTAGGTGTAACTGGCCATATTTATTATATTGTGATAAGGACTGTTGTTCTAAGTCCTACATTACCTTCATAACAACTATGGGAATAGGTACATATAGTTCTCACACAAATAAGCAAACTGAGGGACAGGAAAGCTAGGTAATTTGTCCAAGGTCACACAGCAAGTACTGCTGCAGGGCAAAGAAAGAATAGGACAACACAAGCAGGGAGGAGCGAGCAGGTCCTGTGGCAGCCACTAGACATCTTGGGGGGATGCCTATACTGGGTTGCAGTCCCCCCCATAAAATCACAGTTCTGTTTCCATGCTTTTCTCTAATTGCAAAGTGATATTATTTTAACTTAACAGTGCTTTCTAAAAACTGCCCAAGTTACTTGGGCATTTTTCTTTATGAAAACTGTTCCCATTAAAAGACATGTGAACAATATGAAACACAGGAGGAGGGATGACACAGCCCTCCACCTAAGTCATTTGTCCTTTCACAGAAGAGAAGTTACACCGTTAGTGGAGAACCACAGGCTGCCAGGAGACTGGATCTGAATCCTGACTCCTCCAGCTGAGCCTTCAGAAATGTGCAGATGAGGTATTTCCTGTCACAGTGATGAAGCAGGGAAGACAGTTCTGGGTGAGGAAGTCTTAAACAACCTCAACTCAAGAAGATCCCCAGAGCCATGACTGGAGAACTCCTTCTTCTTCTGCTCGTACAGAACGAGCAGACAGACAGACACACACACACACACACCACCATTCTGGTCATTATAGATACTTTCAGTATTTCAGATGAAGCATTCTGTATCAATTAAAAGTACTTAAAACGCTCTCAAAATATATTTTATTAACACCAGACAGAGCAATCCCATCTTACCCAACCCGTGAATTTAGTGACAGTCAGCCCAGAATGGGAGTACAGAACCCAATACGCCAACAGACCAAGATTCCAATCCTATTTAATCACTTGCCACTGTGTGACGGGGACCAGTCAACCTACCACATCATCAGTTTTCTTACATGTTAAATGAAGATGAGAAATGATTACATGTCAATGGAATGTTGTAAGGATTCAATGATAATTGTATATATGTGTGTGTATACAGTTTAACTTTTACTATAAATACCAGTAGCCTTCAATTTATTTCCAAAACTACAAGGCATATATGAAAAAACTAACACTCGTTCTTTCTGGAAGATGGATATACATATGTGTATAGTTTTCTATATTTCTTTAAATTTTTCAAAATACAGAGAAATTAAAATATTGATCTTATCTACTTTTAATACAGAATCACGTACATAAAGGAATCCGTGTGTGCAGCTATCAGCAGGATCACAGGCTTTCCCAACAGAACTTCTGGAACAACTGTTTATAGTAGAAGGCAGACTGCAGAAGTAAGCATCTCAGGTCAGAGCTGTACAAGACCTCCGACGTCTAATCTAAACCTTTAATTTTCCAAACTAGAATTTGGCCTAAGTGGTTCTTAAAGTTACATCCAGCTGGTTAATCCCAAGTGGTATTTAAGTACCACATTTGAGAAATGGTTTTCTTGTTATTTTATTTCTAAATCCAATTTTCTGACACAATTTTACAATGGAAATTCATGCTATTTGATTTTGTTCATTCAGCTGTACACTTTTGTTTTGTCAGAACCCCAGCAACCTTCCCATCTTCATAATCTAAGTACACTGACTTCCAAGAACAAAGAAATTTCAATTTTAGCATACATAAAACTGAGTTAAGTTGCTCAAGAGAGTCTTTACCATCTGGTGTAAAACCAAAAGGTATGAAAACTATAAACCATTACCTTTTGTAGTAAGTATGTAGGGCACATGGAAAATTAAGAATTTCTTCAATTTGAAGAAATGAATCAATGTTATAATAGAAAAATTATTTTAAGATGTATCTTCGGAAAATGATTCAGACTTGTATATAAAGAATTACATACTTAAATGTCTGAATTGTATACTAATGATTAAAGTTTATTCTTCAAAAATTTTCACAAAAACAGTTCTAAACTGAGGGGATAATCATAACCAAATGGGTTCGCTATATGCCCACTACTATCAGCTAATTTTACTTCACCAATAAAATTTTAAATTTAAAAAACAAGTGGTGAACCGAGGGTACCATCTGAAGTAATTTCATGTTTTGTGGGATTGCATTCTATTTCCAGAAAAATCATCCTTCTGATAGCCAAGACTGGGAAAGTGAGCAACCAGCACAGCACCCAAAATAGTTTAAAACATGAACAGATAAAACTGCGTATGATTTTCCGAAACTTAATAGCACTAATGATGTCAAACAAGTGTATGAAAGAGAGACAACACCAGGTTTAATACCTTAGAAAGTATGTACAGAACCTGAACATTGTTCAATTCAAGTCACAACTGAATCAGCAACGTCATCAGATACTCTGATATAATGAAAAAGCCTAGTTGGTTTAAAAAACAAAACAAAACAACAAACAACAATGCATGTAAACCATAAAAGATTACAAAGTATTTTAGAATACACAACAGAATTCTAACCAGGAGCTTTAAATTTTGATTCTTAAAAGGTGAATCTATATACAATCTTTAAGTTTCCATAATTTGTTATTTTTACATAATCTTTATTATCTGGATAACATAAAATAATAAAAGCTCTTTTAACACCATTGATACGCAGAAAAAAATCCATAGGGAGGTTGTAGTTAGCTAACATAGTTAGTTAACATACGAAAGGCCAGGGACTTTTATTCATGGACTCAAGTCACAAAACAGACTTAACCAACACTGCAAGCCAGGAAACCAGCACTTTTACTTCAGACACTTCTGCAGGGACAGAATTTCCTTACCTGAGAAGGAATGGTTATAAATAACAGTTCTGAAGGCAGAACTTCAGGAGGAATGGACGAGATAGCCTATGGGAACTAATGAGCGCACTTACGTATTAAGAGAAGACTGTGCAAGTTCGCAGCACAGGTCACCGTGGGACCTTCCTTCAAGGTTTAAAATCCTCAACCTGTAGTCAGTCAGTCCTTAATACAGCAGCCGAAGTTTAAAGCCTAGAATCCTTAAATGGAGTGTTCAGCCCAGTTGATTACCAAAAGCTAGTTATAAAATGCTTTAATACTGATGATATTAAAGCTACCCGAACTTTGTAATGATCAAAAAGACTTGGTCTCCTGGGTTAGAATCCAAAGTCATTTTGCCTTCTGACAACATTGCAGAGATGTCAAATACTTCTTAATCTCTCAATTGTATGCCATTTGTCTTCTATGTTTTCTGTCTGTCATAATCTCCCACCATCTTCTTGATGTGTGACAATTTGCTCTTCAGCTGCTTGCAATAATTCCTCTTATTTTTGTAATCTGCAGACTAAAAAAGAAAAAAATAAATAAACCAGGTAAATTTAACAGAATAAAAACAAGTTGTGTTAGCTGCTAGGAAGGCAGAGGTGAAGCAAAATAATCATGGAATATTAGTCAAAATTGTTGGGAGTGAGGAATGGAGTAAGACATACAGGCTTATGGCAGTTTCTCTGATCATACAGGAGGTTGATTCTTTTTGCTCAATTGTACCTTTTAACCTGAGTTTTACAAAGCATATGCTAATTTCTAGTGATTTGTAAAGTGACCCCAAAAATTAACTGGACTTTTTGCTAACACATCATCTAAAAAAATCATTAAACAAGGGTGCTTGGCTGGTTCAACTGGTAGAGCATGTGATTCTTGTTCTTGGGGTTGTGGGGTCAAGCACCACACTGAGTGTAGAGAGAACTTAAAAACAATTTTTTTAAAAGATTTTATTTATTTGAGAGAGAGCAAGTGTGTGCTCACACGCACACCAGGAGGGGGAGGAGCAGAGGGAGAAACAGGTTCCCAGCAGAGCAGGGAGCCCAATGTAGGGCTCGATCCCAGGACCTAGAGATCATAACCTAAGCCGAAGGCAGACGCTTAACCATCTGAGCCACCCAGGCACCCCAAAAATAAATTTTTTTTTTAAAGATTTATTTGACAGAGAGAGGGAGAAAGAAAGTGGGCACACAAATGGGGAGCTATAGGCAGAGGGAGAGGGAGAAGCAGGCTTCCTGCTGAGCAGGGAGCCCAATGTGGGGCTCCATCCCAGGACCCTGGGATCACCACCTGAGCTGAAGGCAGATGCTTTATCGGCTGAGCCACCCAGGGACTCCCAAAAAGATTTATCTGACACACAGAGAAAGAGAACGCAAGTGAGCATGAATGGGGGGAGGGGCAGAGGGAGAGGGAAAAGGAGACTCCCTGCTTAGCAGACAGCCCAATGCCAGACTCAATGCCAGGACTCTGGGAATATGACCTGAACTGAGGGCAGACAACTTAATCAACTGAGCCCCCAGGAGCCTCCCAAAAAACAGAACCTTTAAAAAACAATTGGTCAAACAAAAACTGGTGATATTGGTTGACTTGGGAAAGGAGAAATAGGTAAATGGGGAGTAAGACAGGGAATTTTACTAAATACTCTTTCCTTTCCTTTTTTTAAAATTAAAAAAAAATTTTTAAAGTAATCTCTACAACCAACATGGGGCTTGAACTCAAAACCCCAAGAACAAAGATGCCCCACTATATACTCTTTTAAATTCTTGCATTTAAATTAAAATGTTTTGTGATTTTTTTAAAAATTTAATATAATATCTATTAAAAACAAAGTTTTAAACCAAGACAGACCGATAAAGCCAAGTGTTGAAAAGGATATGGAGCAAAAGGAATCTACACAGCTCGCTGGGAATATACTGGCAAACCAGGAAAGCTGTTGACACCATTACCCAAGGTCAGACAGATACTTGCCCAATGACCCTGAAATTTCACTCCCAAGCGCACATCTAACAAATGTGTTCACATGTGCACAGACACTTACAAAAATGTTTCAAGCTGCATTAATTATAAAAGCCATAAGCTGGGAACAACCCAAGCCCAACCAAGGCCCATACCAGACTCCACGCTCAGCACAGAGCCTGCTTTTCCCTATGAACCTTCAGTGCTTGTGCTTTCACTCGCTCTCAAATAAATAAATAAATAAATAAAATCTTTTAAAAAAGAAATCACATCTAAAATATACATACTACATGATTCCATGTACATTAAGTCCAAAATAGGCTAAACTCCTCTATGTTGGTAGAAGATAGGATGGTAGTTATCTGTGGGGAGAAGAAAAACTGGAGGAGAGCACAAGAGGGGTTTGCCAGGGAAATGTATACACTGGGAAATGTATTTCTTCATCTGGGTGCCAGCTACAAAGGTATATGGTCGCTTGGTGAAAATTTACCACGTTGTACACTCATGATGTGTGGTTTCGGTATATATATATAGTTAAGTTTTTAAAAAAGCTTATCAGAATTGGTTGTAGCTGCAAACAACTGAAGTTAAGTTCTACCTTCTGTTACAGTTTTCAGCTTGTGGTTTTAGGGCCTTTTGTCATAATCAGTGCTTGTGTGGTAAGGTGTTCATAGTCATTTCAAAAGGTTAAATAAAAGACATAATAGAAAAATTCTTCCTCGAAGGATCTTACAATCTGGGATACTTACTCCCTTAACTTGCTTCAGTCTATTGTACTCATCAGCAGCAGCCTATTAATGAGAAACACAACAGAGGATGGTTAGCGGGGCATTTTCTCTTTCAAAAATAACATTCCTGATGTTCTATTTTAGAGCTAAAACTGACACCAATGCCAAAATGACAGGCAATTAAAATAATGAAGACTTTAGTTCTGACAACTATTATAGTCAGCAAGAGGGCCTTAAGGCAGCCAGTAAAGAGAAATGTATGACTTATTCCTCACGTTTCATTTTCATAGACAGGTTAACTATTTTGTTTAGCTGCCTCTCATCTTTCCCCATGTTGGTCCATGTGCCACAGTGACACCAGAGAGATCTTCACTAAAGCATAGCTTTCATCTGGTTATAGCCCATTATGAAACTGGTCTGAGCTCCCTAGTAACTAACTTAAATATATATGTTTTATGTATATATGTAAGTGTACAGACATATATCCACACTAATATATATATTTGTGATGTATATATTATAGATATAAGTTAATATATTATATACTATACATATATAAAATATTTTGAGCAATAAACTAGTATTGGATTATAACGCAAAGCATAAAACAGATATCCATTTAAACTAGTATTGGATTATAACGCAAAGCATAAAACATATCCATTTATGTCAGTACTAATATAAATGATTAAAATAAATAAATGCGAGGAAGTGACCAATTTCTTATGCACAAGAATTCCAAATAATTTGTGTAGGTGCACTGTCTTTAAAGAGCTAGCATAATTTCCCATTCCTGAAGGGTGATGTAGGCATAGTGACTTCCTTGTAAAGAGTACAGTATAGAAAGGGGGATTAAAAAGGAAAGAGTAACTTTCACAGACAAACATTATCTCAGCCAAGGGGGAAAAAACCACCACCACCATAAACTACTGCTGAGTAAAATAATTAAGAAGGATGTAATAAAACACAAGATAACTTCATATCAAAGATGGTGTGTGTCTAGGTGCACTTGTGCATGAAGGGGCTATTTTAACAACCAATATTTTGGTGACAATCAACTGACAGAACTTAAGGCAGTTTATTTTTCTGTACCCAATTCTGTTTGGTTAATATTTTATATAAAGAATGAACTGTGTTTATAAATAGAAAAATATAGCTTTTTTTTTTAATAGAAAGGGATACATGTACATAGCCTAATTTTTGTACTCTGTAACTACATTAGTATACTCTTCATGTTGGAAAGACTTTCATCCAAGACAGGATTTCAGTTGTTTTTCAAGGGAATCAATTTGAGAACTGCTAGCAAAATCTGAGTCTGCATTAGTAGAAAGGATACTCTATCTTCATAGTTTATAATAACATCATCTATAATATGTAATTATCAGGTCTGAATTTACCATGTACTCTTCACTTTCTTCTCTATAGTCATCCAATTCTTTATCCAGACGAGAGAGTTCTTTATTGACCTCATCAAGTTCTGCTTGTAAGCTCTTATATTCCTGCAGGCCAGCGTCAAAATTTCTCTTGTACTGTTGTCTTTGTTGATCTGAAGTAATAGGTGGATATTCCCTAAAAATTGAGAAAATGACTACGACTCTAGCAGACATAAACTCCAATATTTCTTCATCAAAGATAATGAAGCTGGTGGGATATGGAAAATTACAATCTCCTGCTTTCGGTTTTGTTGCTTATAGAAAGAGAAAGGTGGGATGCAAATTAGTTCTCTTAAGAAGATTATACTTCAGGGGCACCTGGGTGGCTCAGTAAAATGAGGATCAGACTCTTGATTTCAGCTTAGGTCATAAAACCAATCCTCTTCGGGCTCCATGCTCAGCATGGCGGCTGCTTAAGATTCTCGCCCACTCCCTCTGTCCCTTCCGCCTGCTTGCACTCTCTCCCTCTCTCAAAAAAGAAAAAATAGAATGATTATACTTTATATATCACTGCTTATGCTTTTAAAAATACTATGCTTGAAAAAATATATATACTATGCTTGGGGGGAGTGCAGTGCCTGGGTCTCCCAGTGAGTTGAGTGGCTGACTCTTGGTTTTTGCTCAGGTCATGACTTTAGGGTCCTGGGATCAAGCCTAGTGTTGGCTCCACTTCAGGGGGGAAGCCTGCTTGAGATTACTTCTCTCCCTCTCCCCCAGTTTGTGCATGGTCTCTAAAATAAATACATCTTTTAAAAATAAAATACTGTGCTTATATAATTTTTAGAAATAAAATTAAAGGGGCAACTGGGTGGCTCAGTGGGTTAAAGCCTCTGCCTTCGGCTCAGGTCATGATCCCCGGGTCCTGGGATCGAGCCCCGCATGGGGCTCTGCTCTGCGGGGAGCCTGCTTCCCCCTTTCTCTTTCTCTGCCTAATTGTGATCTCTGTCAAATAAATAAATAAAATCTTAAAAAAAAGTTTTCACTTAAATCTTCCATGGTTCTAGTTAAAAATATATTTTATAGCTAGATGGCTGAACTTGGCCAAGAACTTCTATTTTCGAAGATTTATTCATCTGACAGAGAGCGAGCGAGCATGCAGGGGAGGGGAAGAGAAAGAGAATCTCAAGTAAATTCCCCACTGGAATTGTGGCTCAATCTCATCACCTGAGCCAAAACCGAGGTTAACCTACTGAGCTACCCGGGCGTCCCTGGCCAAGAACTCTTGTGGAGAAAGGGGAATGAGGAATGAGAATCACCAGTGAGATTTCATACTCTACTATACCACTCATCCCTCCTTCCACACTGAGAAGCAATGTTTTGATGCACCACGATTCACACTGCAGATGTTTCTGATTTGTACCCCACTTCTCAGAATACCTGAGCATCAAAGGGCCACACACCACCCACAAGTGGAGTTGGTAATGATGCACTGTAACTCAACCACCAGCACACACAGGAACTTAACCACACCTCCTCCAGAACACGCACTGTTCACTGTTTACGTAACTGCCAAAGTCCTCCGGATTAAACTTTTTTTTTTTTTTTTTTGACAGAGATCACAAGTAGGCAGAGAGGCAGGCAGAAAGGGAGGGGAAAACAGGGTCCCCGCTGAGCAGAGAGCCCGATGTGGGGCTCGATCCCAGGACCCTGAGATCATGACCCGAGCCGAAGGCAGAGGCCCAACCCACTGAGCCACCCAGAGGATTAAACTTTTAAAAGAATCTCTTGTCTCATCATGAAATCTTAACTTTAAAGTGAATGCCAGGGGCACCTGGGTGGCTCAGTGGGTTAAGCCCTCTGCCTTCGGCTTTGGTCATGATCTCAGGGTCCTGGGATTGAGCCCCACATTGGGCTCTCTGCTCCAAGGGGAGCCTGCTTTCTCCTCTCTCTCCGCCTGCCTCTCTGCCTGCTTGTAATCTCTGTCAAATAAATAAATAAAATCTTTAAAAAAAAAAATCGATATACCTTAAAAAAAAAAAAAAAAAAAGAAAGTGAATGCCAAAACAAAGCCATAGCATTGGTCTGGGAATTTTATGATCAGTAACCGCAGTTCCTGTATACTAGTGTTTTCTTTGTTTGGAAGAACCTTCTTGGGTGATAACTGGTGCCCGAGCACTGGTGGGGTTCATCAGTCACCTCGTGAAAGATGCTCAACGTGTTTTTAGGACACAGTCACAGCCAAACAGACCCCTCCCCAACCACCTTTGTTATCAAAGAGTACTAGGGGGGAAAAAAGCCTCCAGTCCTGGCTGTTCAAGGATGAAATTGCACCACCCAAGCCCAGCTGAGCCCGCAAGCACTCCCCCAGCCAGCTGGCCCAGGCTAACATCAGAACTGGCATAGGCGGTTCCCGCATGAGGCCATCCACTACCTGATCCAGTCCTCCTCCAGCTCGTCGCAGGACTCTCCGCCAGTCGTGTAGTCTGTTTCATAGTGGTCCTGCTCCGGCCGCTTGGACCTGCCTGCTCTTCCTTTCGTGGGGGCCCTTCTGGAAGGCGTCTCGAAGTTGCTGCTGCTGCTGTAGCGAGGCTGCCTGAAGTCATCCACGGGCGAGGTCACCGGCAGCTCCTGCACCACTTCCGGCACCCTAACGAAACAGCACCAGTGTTCAGGGATGGCGGGGTCCACTACAGCCCGTGGCCAGCAAGAGCACCGTAACCACAGAGAGCCACAATAGTATGCACTAAGAGACATCCACACCTACGTGCGTTCGCGCAAGCAATTCACGTACTCCGCATGACGGAGATCCCCAGGCTCCTGCGTTCAGGTTAGCACCAGCTCAGACAGACCCTCTGGAACACACCAGAGGCTTTCAGGTTCCAATGTAAGGGGAGGCCCTCTGGAAATCCTTCTGAGTAAGATGGACCCAAGATTGCACTTTAGAAAGCCCAGGCTGCTGTGGGAGAGGTGTTTCCTGGACCTGTGCCAGGGACTTACTCCACAAAAGGTGGTCAAGAAAATAACACTCAGGATTCTTTTCCACAGGTTCTTCCAGGTTCATGGAATTCAGAGAGTTGAAGAGAAATGCACGTACCTGTCTACCTTTGGAAGATGACTCTCAGAGGTAAGCATTTTTTATTTAAAGATTTTATTTATTTATTTGACAGAGAGAGATAGGCAGAGAGGCAGACAGAGAGGGAAGCGGGCTCCCTGCTGATCAGAGCGCCCGATGAGGGGCTGGATCCCAGGACCCTGGGATCATGACCTGAGCCAAAGGCAGAGGCTTTAACCCACTGAGCAACCCAGGGACCCCAGAGGTAAGCATTTTTAATATTAATTCTAAACTCCTATACAGCAGTTTTCTTGTCAAGATACAATCTAGAAAAACTAAAGTACTAAAAATTTAAACTGCTATGTTCATCTTATAGCCATGTAGACTGAATGGCATGGAAGCATTACAATTATTAGACTTATTTTCCTAATGCAATTATTTAATATTGCATTAGATTTTTAATTGCAAATGTTTCTGTGCCAAGCATGAAAACGAGGCCAAACACAGAAGTAAGTAGCAAGAGCTATGGCAATGGTTAAGTACGTGTGAGTGACAGCGATGCCGAGTTTAACTCTCCCTGGCAGCAGAGCTGCAGAAGGGCAAGAGCGCTGAAAGGAAGACAAAAGACACGCCAGAGACTTTCCAGCCTCAGCCTTGATATTCAAACCAACTATTAAAAACGTCTTAAGATTTTTGTTTTCTCACTGCTTTCAATTTACAGAAGCTCTCATCTTGAGCTTTGTCTGTGAGGTGTAATCTATTTTCTAGGGGATCCAGAACTGCTTGCCACTAACTGTTGTCAAAGTTTTCAGATTTCTATCACACTTACTAATGTCTTGTAGAAGGCTAAAGCGTTGGAATGTGTATGCAGTTGCGGTGGTTAAGTGGGATTTATGCCTACTTTTTAATGTATTCAGGTTACAGTGGCTTTGTATGCTTTGTTATTGCTACATCTAAAGAAGGGAAAATGTGACTTTCTCCATGAGTCAATGAGTAACAAGTTCCTAGACACTCTGCCAAAATTGCCACTATTATGCTTCTTGCTCTGGGAACGCAGTAGGTGTATTTGAGGGAGTAGTGACTAGAGGAGGAGGAAGCCAAACAGCAAAAGAAATTAGAAAAGAACAAAACCCAAAACATTAAAACAGGCCTCCTCCCATAATTACATTAGATATTGATCTTATAAATCTTTGTTGGGCTCCTCTGCCCCTTCCCCTTGCTTGTACTCTCTCTCCCCCTCTCTCAAATAAATAAATACAATCTTTTAAAATAAATAAATAAATAAATAAATAGCTCTTTACTTTGAAGTTTTCCACCTACCACTCTCCTACATACTTTCAACACCAGAGGGTAACATACTTGATACAGCATAAAACCTAAATGCAAAATGCTTACAAGTATATATACATTTAAGAGCTAGGGAATATGGGGGCACCCGGGTGGCTCAGTGGGTTAAGTCTCTGCCTTCGGCTCAGGTCATGATCTCAGGGTCCTGGGATCAAGCCCCACATCGGGCTCTCTGCTCAGCTTCCCTCCCACCCCCGCCTGCCTCTCTGCCTACTTGTGATCTCTGTCTCTCAAATAAATAAATAAAATCTTTATTTTTAAAAAAAGAGGGAATATGTGTACTGTCAATAATCTCTGAACCTACCTTTAGATACAAATTCCATTAGGTCATAATCTGCACGACCCTGAAGAGGCAACCAGCTGTATGCTTTCCCTGCTCTCCAAACTCGGACTCCAGGACCAGAAGTTCACCCTTGTGTATTCTATCTCTTCTATGCATATGTTTTCTTTACACATCCTCCCTCACTTGCCTTTGGTTCTCCCACCTCGCCCTGATTCTCAGTGTAGCTACTGTGTGTGGTCTTCTGTCCCTAGTAGATCGCCACATCCATGAGAACAAGGACTTGGAACTCTCAAGGTACCTAGCCAACTACTGGGTACATAGCAGGTGTTCAAGAGAATTCCTGAACTTGGGGCGCCTGGGTGGCTCAGTGCGTTAAAGCCTCTGCCTTCAGCTCAGGTCATGATCCCAGGGTCCTGGGATGGAGCCCCGCATGAGGCTCTGCTCTGCGGGGAGCCTGCTTCCTCCAATCTCTCTACCTGCCTCTCTGCCTACTTGTGATCTCTGTCTGTCAATAAATAAATAAATAATCTTAAAAAAAAAAAAAAAAAGACAGAATTCCTGAACTGAAAACACATTCAGAAGAATCCTCTTTTCTGATGATACCCAGTACCCACGAGGGAAGAGAAACAAGACATGATCAACATCAGTCAGCATACTGTCCATTATGTACATGGTATTTTATTTGATTTTTAATCTTTTTTTTTCCAAAGAATTTATTTATTTATTTGAGAGACAGAGGGGACAGGGAGGAGAGGCAGAGGAAGAAGCAGGCTGCCTGCAGAGCAGAGAGCTGGAAGTGGGACTCGATCCCTGTCTCTGAGATCTTGACCTGAGCCAAAGTCAGATCCTTAAAGACTGAGCCACCCAAGTGCCTCTATGTATTTTAGAACTGTCACCATTACTGGGGGAAATATCTAAACCTTGTCAATCAGAGAACCCCATCTCCCTAGCCTTGGGAATGACAATGACTCAAAAAGGGCCAATCAGGAATCTTTCAATATATTTTGTATGTCAGCTTTGGGAAAAAACATTCTAATTTCTAAATCCTGTGCTGGAAGATCAACGTAGCCTGGAAAATGTGGATGACTGTGCTGTTTTAATAGAAGCTGTACCGACAATAAAGCCCACACAGCAACAGGAGTCCTCATATCTTCCTTCTGAGTTCCTGGCTCACACCCTTCCTGAACGGAGCCCATTCCTTGGTCTAATGTGGACCAGTGAATTCCTACAACTCATATACAGTCCTAACAGATTATCCTAATGGCTTCTTTACTGCACCATACAAGGGTTCATTGGCACTCTCGGGTGTCAGCCCACCTTGAAAGCTCTGGGACATGCCAACATTCAACTTCCTTGACTTACAAAGATGAATTCACCCTGGATTTGGACAGGATAGCAGGAGAGGTACCTAGTGGGGGGGGTGGGTAGCTCCTAAATCTAACTAGAAAAGGTAGAGAAGCAACCATTTTCAGTTAAATTCTGCTATCTCCTAACCCAGTGTGAATTCTAATTGCCTTGAAATTCTAAGATATAGGACATGATGAGTACAAGGCACCAGACACAACCATATTTACCGTATGATTCCACTTTATAAGAACTTCAATAATAAACTCAACTAAGAGGTAGTTACAGGCATCAAAATTGTGGTGGGGGGATGGAGATATCAATGAAGAATGGGCACACGAGGACCTTTTGGAGTGCTTGGTATGTCTCTCTGTTGGTGTGGTGGTGGTTACTTCAGCATTCACACATGCAAAAAATCATCAAACTGTATGTGTTCAAGATTAGTACTCTTTACTGAATGTGTGTTATGCCCTGGGGAAAAAAATTCTAACTGTGGAGGTACCTCATCCTTACCATGGAGCTCAGACACAATGTTCTTGCTCTAATTCCTCGTCTATGGACTACAAAAGCAAGGAGAGGCCCTCGTGGGCTACTAAGCACCTTTATGAAAGCCTGAGGACAGACAAACCCATGACATAATGTGCATCCCCTATCCCATACAAGTGGATGTGCTCTGAATCTTCCAGAGCATGCAGAAATCTGCCATGGGCAACACCCGGCCATTTCTATTATTCCCCAGAGGCTGCAAGTTCCTTCCAACATTAGCGGATACAAAACAGGACATAATGTCCCATCACATTCCTTAGCACCATCCCCATCCTCCCCTTCTTCTAGATTTTGAAACTAAGCATCACATTTGCATTTCCCAGACCTTCAAAAAAGTTCTACGGTGTAGGCTGGGAATATAAATTAGTACACCCCCTGAGAACTACAATTCGAGTGTACCTATCAAAATGAAATAGGAAATTTCTTCCAGCTCAGCACTTCTGCTTTTAGTTATTTCTCTTCCAGATGCATTCGCATATGTGAAAAGTGATTCATGTACAAGTTTATATCCTGCAGCGATTTGTAATAAAACGCTGGGGGAAAAGTGTGCATCAATATAGGATTAACAAATTATAGTATATCCATCTGGTAGAATATTATGCCGCTATAAAGCAGATCAGTAGACTCTTTGTACGCTGATATGCACAATCTCCAAGACATATTGCTAATAATGTATTTAATATGTTAGTATTTTTAAAAAACATTTTATTTTTATTTATTTGAGATGGAGGGAGAAGAGCAAGGGACCACAAATGGGGGGCAGAGGGAGCAGAAGCAGGCTCCCCACTGAGCAGGGAGCCTGACATGGGGCTTGATTCCAGGACCTCGAGACCATGACCTGAGCCAAAGGTATACACTTAACCGACTAGGCCACCCAGGTACCCCCCCCCCCCCAATATGCCAGGTATTTTCTAAAGAAAGGTCTAACTAATGTACATTTTAGCCAACATATTTATTTAAAAATAATTTCTGGAATTATAAGATAAATTAAGAGAAATCAAGAGTTACATAAGAGGGGCGCCTGGGTGGCTCAGTGGGTTAAAGCCTCTGTCTTCAGCTCAGTTCGTGATTCCAGGGTCCTGGCTAGGATCGAGCCCTACATCGGGCTCTCTGCTCGGCGGGGAGTCTGCTTCCTCCTCTCTCTCTGCCTGCCTCTCTGACTACTTGTGATCTCTGTCTGTCAAATAAATAAATAAAATCTTAAAAAAAAAAAAAGAGTTATATAAGAAAAATTGGTGGGGTGCCTGGGTGGCTCAGTTGGTTAAGCATGTGACTCTTGATCTCAGCTCAGGTTTTGATCTCAGGGTTGTGAGCTCAAGCTCTGCACCTGAGTTCAAGCCCAGTGTGGAGCCTACTTAAAAAAAAGGAAAGTGGTAACACTAGCTGCCTCTGGGAACAGGAACTAGGTAGTGGGGGACAAAAGCTAAACCTATGTCCCTTTTCCATTTTATATTTATAAATGTACTGGCTTATTCAAGAATAAGTTTTGGTTTTTTTTTTAAGATTTTATTTATGTATTTAACAGACAGAGATCACAAATAGGCAGAGAGGCAGGCAGAGAGAGAGGAAGAAGCAGGCTCCCTGTTGAGCAGGGAGCCCAATGTGGGGCTCGATCCCAGGACCCTGGGATCATGACCTGAACCGAAGTCAGAGGCTTTAACCCACTGAGCCAACCAGGTGCCCCAAGAATAAGTAAGATTTTTAAATTGTTGCAAATGAATTTGTGAAAATATCTTGGTTTTCATGAAAAGAGACAGCATGTGGAATACTATGTAACCATTCAGGCTTTATAATTAATTTAGAGGCCCAGCTGGTCACAAGATGCATTATAAATATTTATTATCTATGCACAGAAGTCATACAAATCATAGTTTTAAACTTTTACAAGGATTGTGTCTCTACTTTGTACACCTTTGCCCCTGACTGCCTCAAGCACTATGGCTTTTTCTCAAAATCCGAACAGAAGGAGAACAAAGAAAATGCTCTTCCTCCAAATCATTCACAACTGAAACCAATGGCATAGTCAATTCTAAAGACCCAAACAAAATATGTATTGAGGGTAAGGCAAACTCCTGTTTCCAAGTTCCATTCCAGAGTAATAATAAACCCTATTGTCTCAAACTGACTCCACAATTAACTTAGCTGCAGGTGCCCAAAGTACTGTGGATTCGGGGGGATTTCTACCTAAAGTGGACCACTAGATGGGAGGGATGGGGGTAGGCGCGGGAGGTGGAGATACAACTTTGAAGCAACACCAAGTTTTCCAGCAGATACACCTTTAACTTAAAACAATCCAAATAGTTAAAGGGAAGGTTTATTTTTTAGTCTACAAAGGAATCTGAAGTTCTAGAATTGTATATAGAAAAGGGGGTGGCTGCCTGAATCAGTCACTGGAATACGTGACTCTTAATCTCAAGGCTATGAGTTTCAGCCCCACTGTGGGTGGAGGTGACCTAAAAATAAAATATTCAGGGGCACCTGGGTGGCTCGGTGGGTTGGGCCTCTGCCTTCCGCTTGGATCGTGATCTCAGGGTCCTGGGATTGAGCCCCGAGTCAGGCTCTCTGCTCAGCAGGGAGCCTGCTTCCCCATCTCTCTCCCCCTCTGCCTGCCTCTCTGCTTACTTATGATCTCTCTGTCAAATAAATAAATAAAACCTTAAAAAAATAATAAAATAAAATCTTCCCCAAAAAAAGATGAATAATTTTTCATCCTCAAGCAAAAATTATATCCAGTCTACAACAGTATTTCAAAATACCCTTACCTCTCTAGTCATTAGGTTGAATTAGAATTAGGCTTTAGGGTAAATTAAAACCACAATAGGGATACCATTTCAGCAACCATAATGGCACCTACTCTAAGCCAGAAGCTCAGTGTGAGATTATTTACACTACTTGTAAAACTACACCTACAGGCTTTATCAGTTTCACATCCCCCCAGCAACATGAAGGATCTAGCACAGCCAGTGAGATCTCAGAATTCCTGAATTCAAACAAAGTCTGCTCGTTAAATAAAGATGGACGTGCCTGGGGTGGATCAACCTGCAACCTTCCCCTTCCATTCATGAGACCTCTCAGGCAAGGAGAGACAGAACCGCACACAGCTCTGCTTTCTATCAGTACCATCTTCCACTTTAACCTCAACTTCAAAACCAGCAACAGGGAAGAAACCACTTTTTTCGAGCAAAAAAACCCCAATTTATCCTTTCACTCTTAAACCAGAAAGAGAAAAGAAGCTTAGAAGGAGGAGAAGATCCCATCAGCTGACAGTCCCACCCTTCTCATCTGCCAACCCTCCATCAACAGTGCAAAAGATCAGTCTCCAGCCTTTGGGAAACTGTTAAATTTATTTATTTATTTTAAAGCATTTATTTTAAATGGTACAATAGGGACTGATTTATCAACGTATCCAATTACTCATTTTTAAGACTCATTCTGTCTGAGGGAGGAAGATGCTACTTACGGTGTTGATTTGTAGGAAGACTCTGGATAGGGCCTCTTGTCATTCACTTTACCATTAGAAGAGTAGGCCATGGGACTGTCCACTCTCTCCACATAGTCAGAAGGGGGAGGAGGCATGTCCTGTGTGCCTACAGAAACGTTTTTAACCTAAAGAAAAAGCCCCAGGAGACACAGTTATTACTGACCCTGTAATTTAAAGGGGAAAGAAATGAAGAAAAATATCACATATAAAATTACCTAATACTTACTGGGCTCATTAAATACTGTTAACCCACCTTGTTATTGTTAGTGTTAACAATCAAATCCGTATTCCTACCAATACATAAATGATGCCATTGTTAATTTAACAAGTCCAGAATTACAAAGAAGAAAAAAAAAATCCCAATTACCTGACCCTCATCCTGATGTGACCAGGCAGAAAGATTATCCATTGCTCCACCCCATATACAAGAACTAATCTCATTTTACATAGGCTGGGTCTGGGTTAGGGCAAGAATTTTCATTTCATTTCTTTTCCTTTCCTTTCTTTTTTTTTTTTTTTTTTAAGATCTAATTTATTTGATAGAGAGCACAGAGAACACAAGCGGGGGAGTGGCAGAGGGAAAGGGAGAAGAAGACTCCCCACTGAGAGGGAGGCCGACACCGGGCTCAATCCCAGGACCCCGGGATCATGACATGAGCCGAAGGCAGACGCTTAACCAACTGAGCCACCCAGGCGCCCCAAGAATTTTCATCTCTAAGAAGTTCTAAGGTAATGCTTATGCTGCTGCCTGGGCACCACAGTTAGAAAACAACTAATTAGGACAAAAGACACTGGTTCTTCTTAACCTATCCACACTAAATATGGAATGTTGAAGCCACAGAAGAAATTAAGAAGCGCAAACTGATTTCTGCTATAGTTCTTTAATGAGAGATTTATCTTTTTTTTTAAGATTTTATTTATTTATTTGACAGAGATCACAAGATCACAAGTAGGCAGAAAGAGGGGGAAACGGGCTCCCTGCTGAGCAGAGAGCCCGATGTGGGGCTCGATCTCAGGACTCTGAGACCACGACATGACCTGAAGGCAGAGGCTTAACCCACTGAGCCACCCAGGCGCACCTATTCTCCTTTAACATACATTTTCAATGGCTGTTCTTAATACACGACCTCAGTATTAGGAAAAACAAACAATCTGATTAAAAATGGGCAGAGGACCTGATAGACATTTCCCCAAAGAAGACGAACAGATGGCCAACAGACACATGAAACCATAAAAAAACTGACGGAAAAAAATTGAAGATGACACACACAAATGGAAAGATACTCCATGCTCTCGGATTGTAAGAACCAGTATTGTTCTTAAGTCCATACTACCCAAAGCAATCTACAGATGTAATGCAGTCCCTATTAAAATACCAACAGCATTGTTCACAGAACTAGAATAATATCTGAAATTTGTATGAAGGCACAAAGACTCCAAAAAGCCAAAGCAATCTTGGGAAAGAACAACAAAACTGAAGGTATCACAACCCTGGACTGCAAGATATACTAAAAAGCTGAAGTATTCAAGACAGCATGGTACTGGGACAAAAATTAGACACACAGATCAACAGAACAGAATGGAGAGCGCAGAAACAGACCACACTCATATGGTCAAACTAGACAAAGGAGTCAAGAACACAGAACCTGGAGAAAACAGTCTCTCCAACAGATGGGGCTGCACAACTGGACGGCAGTATGCCAAGGCTGAAACTGGATCACTGTCCTACACCAAATACACAAACTCAAAACGGCCTAAAGACCTAACTGGGAGGCCTGAAAACCATACAACAATTAGAAGAAAACACAGGCAGTAATCTTTTTGGCATCAGCTATAAGAAACATTTTTCTAGGTCTCCTGAGACAAGGCAAACAAAAGCAAAAATAAACTACCGGGACTACCCCAAAATAAAACTTTCCCACAGCAAAGTTAACAATCAACAAAACAAAGAGGCAACACACTGAATGAGAGAAGGTATTTGCGAATGATACATCCAATAAGGGATTAATATCTAAAATACATGAACTCAGCATCCAGAAAAACCAAATAATCTGATTAAAAATGGGCAGAGGACCTGACACATTTCTCCCAAGACGACACACAAATGGCCAAGACACACATGAAAAGATGCTCAACATCACCAATCATCAGGGAAATGCAAATCAAAACCATTATGAGGTATCACCTTACACCCGCCAGAAAGGCGAAAATCAAAAAGAAATAATAATAAGACAAAATAATGATGATAACAACAATAACAACAACAACAACAAAAAGACAAGACTCTGGTAAAGATGTGGAGAAAAAGGAACCCTCAGGCACTACTGGACGGAATGCAAACTGGTGCAGCCACTGTGGAAAACAGTATGGAGGCTCCTCAAAAAATTAAAAATAGGCCATAAGATCCAGTCATTCCACTACTGGCCATTTGCCCAAAGAAAACAAAAACACTAATTCAAAAAGATATATGCATCCCTCCCTGTGTTTACTGCAGCATTATTTACAATAGCCAAGATGTGGAAACAACCAAAGTGTCCAATGACAGCTGACTGGGCAAAGACGATGTGATGTATATGGAATAATGTTACTCAGCCACAAAAAAGAACGAGATCTGGTCATATGCAACAACATGAATGGACCTAGAAGCTATGTTAGTCATATAAGTCAAGCTAAGTCAAGTAAGTCAGATAAAGAAAAACAAATACCACATGATTTCACTCATATATGGAATTTAAGAAATAAAACAAATGAATAAATACAGAAAAAAGGAGACAAAAACCAGATCTTTTTTTTTTTTTTTTTTTTTAAGATTTTTATTTATTTAACACAGACAGCGATCACAAGTAGGCAGAGAGGCAGGTGAATAGAGAGGGGGAAGCAGGTTCCCTGCTAAGCAGAGAGCCCAATACGGGGCTCGATCTCAGGACCCTGAGATCATGACCTGAGCCGAAGGCAGAGGCTTAACCCTCTGAGCCACCCAGGCGCCCCAAAAAACAGATCTTTAATACAAGGAACAAACCTGTGGTTGCTGGAGGGGACGTGGGTGGGGGGGATAGGTAAAATAAAGGGGATTAAAAGGTGCAAACTTGGGGTGCCTGAGTGGCTCAGTGAGTTAAGCCTCTGCCTTCGGCTCAGGTAGTGATCTCAGGGTCCTGGAATCGAGCCCCATGTCAGGCTCTCTGCTCAGCAGGGAGTCTGCTTCCGCCTCTCTCTCTCTGCCTCCCTCTCTGCCTACTTGTGATCTCTATCAAATAAATAAATAAACTCTTAAAAAAAAAGGTGCAAACTTCCAGTTACAAAACAAGTCACAAAGATGAAAAGTTCAGCATAGAAAATACAGTCAGTAAGATTGTAATAAGGTTGTCTGGTGACAAGTGGTGACTATACTTATCATATGAGCAATGAGGAATATAGACAGTTGTGGAATCATTACGTCGTACACCTGAAACTGATATAACATTGTATGTTAATTTTACTACAACTAAAAAAAATTAGTGGCATGGTCAATGGGGAAACGACCTACATCATAAAGTTCTGTTTACAGTCCAATGAGATGAGAAGACACCATATTTAGCACAGTACTTTGATGAGCATAGTAAAAACTCAGAAGATGCTGGGTTCTGAAATTAAAGCCAGCTGATGTAAACAAAGAACTTCTGTAAGTATTTAAATGTGAAAGCAGACTATTTTGCTATTAAGTCCTTACAATTAGGTTCAGCACCAATACAGCGTATTTCCCTACAACACACACAGTTTACGCCTTGTTTCCCATTAAGCATAGCATTGAAACAGGACCTGCTCCTTTAAATCATTGCAGTAACACATACCAAGATACCTCTTTACCCACCACTTGAAGTACATAAGGTATCCTTTTTTTTTTTTTTTAAGATCTTATTTATTTATTTGACAGAGAGAGATCACAAGTAGGCAGAGAGGCAGGCAGAGAGAGAGGGAAGCAGGCTCCCCGCAGAGCAGAGAGCCCAATGCGGGGCTCGATCCCAGGACCCTGAGATCATGACCTGAGCCTAAGGCAGAGGCTTAAACCCACTGAGCCACCCAGGCGCCCCCATAAGGTATTCTTGATTAGAGTCCCTCAAGCCAGAAATAGGATCACTTCCTTCTGAAAGTGGGAGTTTGGGAGCAACTGGGAAACCAGTGGGTGGCTTGCAAGGGAGTGTGCTTAGATGTCACCGCATGGGGACACAGACAGGTGGGAACCATTCTCCGCTCCCAATGGATTCCCTAGAACTTGACACCACTGCCAAGCTTCACAGGCAAGCACTCCCCAAGTCAAAGGTCTATTCTTATCTTGGACACTTCATCAGAATTTCCAAAGACTTCCTTTACTTAAAGACCCATTTAACACTTTTCCATGTTTTTCCTCTTCACAACTTGAGCAAGGCTGCAAAGCTCTACTGTTCTGGCAAACCTGAAATCGAAACCTTACCAAAAAGGCACCTGGGTGTCCTTGCAAACTTCTTAGTGCCTGGAACGGTAAGCCCTTCCCCTGTCTTTGCCAGATAATCCTTAATTGGGCTTCAAGTCTTGGCTCACTACCAAGTAGTGGCCATGCCCATAAGCCCCAGAGGCCTTCCACACATGTCTTTGCTGAGAGATGAGGCACCCACCTGCACTTGGTCTCGCTCAGCACCTGTGCACACAAGCCTCCCACAGGAGAGCACTTAGGCATGGCCTTACAGTCGTTCCCAACCAGAATAATGGCTTGCTCCCATCATTGTTCTAACTTCAGGGGGCAGCGGACTATTCTTAAGACCACGACTTTCTGCCCGCTTACAATATGCCAAACAATGAAACACAGATCATTCAGTAGGCACAAGCGTACAGGTAAATACTAACATTCCCTTTTCAGAAATGAGGAAGCTATGACTCAGGGAGCTAGACACCTTTTCCAAGCACCTACACCAAGGAAAAGGTTAATGTGGGATTGAACTATACGGCTCCCTCAAAAGCCTCTGCTACAATCCGCCACCCCTCCCTAGGCTGCCTCCTACCTTTCCCTGGGTCTCCAGAGCCCAGCATGGTACCAGGCACAAATCAAGAGCCCAGAACTGGCTGCAGAAAGGTGATCTCATTTATTACTGCTGAACTTCTATGCTGTACATAT